GGTTCCCGGTTCGAGTCCTGCTGGTCCCGCTGGTCCGGAGTGAGGGGGCCCCGCCCAGGGTGGAGAGGGGGTGCACGGGACCCGCGGGGCTGCAGAGTGTGGCCTGGCTCCTGCGGGGAAGGCCAGGTCTCAGGCGCACAGCGCGCACAGATGGGAAGGCTGGACTCCATTGCTCAGCTGCCAAGAGGAAGGTTTCCAGCGACTCCTTCCTTCCCTGCGCATTTATACCTCCCTGGGCTCCCAGGGGGCAATGCGAGGGGAGTCAGGCTGGGTGGTGCCAATTGGAGCGGAAGGTGGGGCATAATCCGGGTCAACAGCACGTTCCCGGGTTGTGGGCTGGATCCCCAGTTGCGGGGGGGGGGGGGGGGGGGGCGCAGGAGGCATCCGATGCATGATTCCTTCTCATCCTGGATGCCTCTCTCTCTCTCTCAAAATCAATGAGAGATTTTTGTGGCAGAAGATGGTTCCTTAACGGGTCTCAGTGGAGGCCACCCCTGGGAGTCCTGGGCCCCGCGCCTCCCAAGGAACTGGGGGTACCTGTGAGCAATTCTCTGAGATCCCCCAAATTTCTGTACCTGTTGTCCCTCCCTCTGCGAGGCCACAGGCGGGGGGAGTCTGCAGGACGAGCACCCGCTGGGCTGCTGGGGCGCAGCCACCACCCCAGGAGGCGTCTCCGGCTCCTGGCTGCTGGGCGCCGGGTCCTCCACTGCTCGGGGGGTTTCTGCCTCCTGGCTGTTGGGCGTCGGGTCCTCCCTGGCTGGGGGGGTCTCTCCTGGCTGCTGAGTGTGGGGGCCCCCACTGCTGGGGGCGTTTCTAGCTCCTGGGATGGGGGCGATCCACGTGGTGCTGGCAGCTCTGCACACAGAGGGCGCGCATTCTGTGCGCCCGGCCCGTGCGGCGGGCGGTGCTGGCGCAGGAGCGCACAGGGACCGGAATTGGGTTCCCGGTTCGAATCCTGCTGGTCCCAAGTGAGGGAGCCGCGCCCAGGGTGGAGAGGGGGTGCCCGGGGCCCGCGGGGCTGCAGAGTGTGGCCTGGCTCCTGCGGGGAAGGCCAGGCCTCAGGCGCACAGCGCGCACAGATGGGAAGACTGGGCTCCATTGCTCAGCTGCTGAGAGGAAGGTTTCCAGCGACTCCTTCCTTCCCTGCGCATTTATACTCCCCTGGGCTCCCAGGGGGCAATGCGAGGGGAGGCAGGCTGGGTGGTGCCAGTTGGGGCGGAAGGTGGGACATGATGAGATTGAGGGGATCGATCACCCTGGGTGGGGCTGGATGGGATCAAGGTTTCTTGCTTGAGAGCCTTAAAGTCCGTTTCTTTTTCATTTAATGAGTGATTTTTTTTTCTTTTAAAATATATTTTATTGGTTGTTTTTACAGAGAGGAAGGATATTTGCTCTTAACAACATGTGATCAATAACTTCAAAATGCAATGGGCATTCAATTTTAAGGCGCGCCTTTAACATTCATGTAAAACGGTTTTTGTACTCGTTCCATAGAAACTTACCTGGCCGCTGGGTAAAACTAGCAGTAAAACGGTGGGTCCGCGACGTGTTTAACAAAGCGGACAATTCAATGGCCCATTTTCCCACGCGCGATGTTTTTTAATAGATGATAGATAGATAAAGATGATAGATAGATGATAGATAGATAGATAGATAGATAGATAGATAGATAGATAGATAGAGATGATAGATAAATGGTGCCACCTCGTGGCCACGAGTGGTGTTGCAGGCGGCGCAACAGAAAGAACAAGGGGCAGTTTATTGATTCTGAGCAATGATCTCTCTCATCATGGATGTTTCTCTCTCTCTCCGCCCCCGTTCCGCTCTGAAATCAATAAAAATATATTTAAAAATAAAAATCAATGGAAAAATACCCTCGGGGGACGATTTAATAAAACAAAACAAAACACACTCCGCAAGGAACTTGCCCATTGACCTTCACGAATGGGATTTTCCCCCCAAAGTAGGGAAATGCTGCCACCCTGTGGTCACAACTGGTATTGCAGGAGGCAGAACAGGGGGTACCAGTGTCCCTGTCTCAGATTAGGGGGTGGCCTCCCTCGCAGATTGGCCGGAACCCACAGAACTCAGGAGGCGGGTCTCCCCCGACCAGCGGCACTGCCAGGGGCTCCGACGCTGCGGGGGTTCACAGGGGCCTGGGCGCGGCTTCCCCAGCAGCTGGCTCAGGAGTCAGGGTGCCCGGCCCAGGGGACCCCAAGCGGGGGGCAGGCGGAGCCGCTGCAGGGGAACTCGGGGGTCAGAGGTCAGAGGTGGTTCATACTGCGGTGCCCTGGCCCTGCCTCTGGGCCCCGTGTGCCACGGTCCGAGATTCCGCAGCTCAGGGTTCGGGTCTACAAACCCGGGGGCGGGACTCCTGGGGCCTCCCATGGGCCCCGCACCCCCTTCTTTCTTTATTTAAATTCTCACCCGAGGATATTTTCCCATTGATTCTTATTTTATTTTTTTTAATATTTTATTGATTTCAGAGAGGAAGGGAGAGGGAGAGGGAGAGAAGCAACTATGATGAGAGAGAATCAGGGATCGGCTGCCTCCTGCACGCCCCCCACTGGGGATGAGCCTGCAATGCAGGGATGTGCCCTTGGCCGGAATCGAACCCAGGACCCTGCAGTCTGCAGGCTGATGCTCTATCCGCTGAGCCACACCGGCCAGGGCTCCATTGATTTTTAGGGAGAGCGGAAGAGAGAGGGAGAGACAGAGAGGAACATCCATGTGAGAGAAACGCATCCATGGGTTGCCTCCTGCACGCGCCCCCACCAGGGACCGGGCCGGGGAGGAGCCTGCAACCCAGGTCCGTGCCCTGGATGGGAATCGAACCCGGGACCCTTCGGTCCGCAGGCCGACGCGCTATCCACTGAGCCACACCGGCCGGGGCCCGTCCTCTAACCCAGCAGGCACGGGGGCGCTTTTCCGTCTCTGCAGGGGACCCCGGGGGCCCAGGAGGAGGCGGGTGACTTCCCGCTGCCCCTGAACCAGCAAGAGGGACTGAAGGCCTCGGTGAGAAACATGAGTATAATCCAGTGTTTTCTGTCCCAAAGCCGGGCTGGGCGCTGGGTGAGGACCGGGGCGGGGCCGGGGGCCGGGAGCCGGGGGCTGGGAGCCGGGAGCCAGGGGCCGGGCACCCGCCCCTCCCTCACCCCCCACCCGCGCCGGCACCAGGCCTGCCTGAGTCACCGGTTGTTTGCCTCCAGCCGGGAGGACAGCTCAGGCCCAGCTGACACCGGGGACCCCCCCCCATCATCATGGCAAAAACACGTCAGAGTGATCAAGAGCCAATGTCCTTTCGTGGGGTTCAGAGCGGTTCCCCCGGCCCTGTGAGCAGGAGAGGGCTCCCCCGACCCCGGAGAGGATGCAGCGAGACTCGGGGTTCCTGAGGGCACCGCTGGGGCCGGGAGCCCCCCAGCCCAGGCCCTGCTCCCCGCCTCTCGTGAGGGGCCGTGCACAGCGGACCCTGTGGAAGGCATGACTCAGGCAGGTCCCCGGGGGCTCCTGGGGCGCCAAAGGCAGACAGGGAGCCAGCGGCCGGCCCTCGCGCCCTCCGTGGCCTGGCCGTCCTGGTCGCACCCAGCCCCCGGCCGGCCCTGCCCTTTCGGGGTGACCTCTGTCCGAGGTCAGTCCCAGGTCAGCCTCCCGCCTGGCCCTGGGCGGCCTGAGCTCACAGGGGGTGGGTCGCTGCCCTCAGAGCCTTGGGCTTCTGGTATGAATTGGGGGGGGGGGGGTGACGGGAGAGCGTCTGGGCCCAGGGCACCCCGTTACTGGGGGGCGGGAGGGGGGCGGCAGCCACAGCTTTCAGCTTCGGGTCTCCATTCCAAGGAGTGGTTTTCTTTCCTTTCCTTTTCTTTTATTTTCTTTTTTTAAACATATTTTTATTGATGTCAGAGAGGCAGGGAGAGGGAGAGAGAGACACCCATGATGAGAGAGAATCAGGGATCGGCCGCCTCCTGCACGCCCCCCACTGGGGATGGAGCCGGCACACCGGGCCTGTGCCCTGACCGGGCATCGAACCCTGACCTCCTGGGTCCTAGGTGGACGCTCAGCCACGGAGCCACGCCGGCCGGCCACATGGGGGAGGGACACGTCCAGGCCTGTGTGCGCCCAGGGCCTGGCTCGGAGCGTGTGTGGCAGGAAGCGGCTGGGGGGCCGGTGCCAGGTGGTGGGGTCGCAGGTCAGGGTCACGGGGGGCCCAGCTCCCGGGTCGGCGGTGACGGGGCGCCCGCCCGGAGTGGGACCAGGGGCAGCCCAGCCCCCCTGAGCATGGAGATGGAGGTGGACACCAGGGTCCAGGAGGCTGGGCCAGGGCAGCCCTCCTCCCTGCGGCCCCTCCCTCAGGGGTCGGGGTCCCCCGCCCCGGGGCTGACAGAGCCCAGGACGCCCCAGAGGCAGCCCCCGCGGGGACCACATGGCCTTGCTGGAGGGGGGCACCCCGTCCCTGGGAAACATGGGTCTGAGGGCCTCAGGGGGCGGAGTGGGCGGGGGCCGGAGCAGGGGTGGGGACGCCTCCTCCAGGCAGCAGCCTCGCCCGGCCTCCTGCTCCCCTCTCCCCGCTGCCCCCCGCACCCCAGGCCATGACAACGTGGCATTTCAGCCTGGGCGGCGGCCGGTGAGGCTCAGGGGTCGAGCGTCGACCTAGGACCCAGGCGCTCAGGGTTCGATTCCCGGTCAGGGCACAGGCCGGGGCTGCGGGCTCATCCCCAGTGGGGGGCGCAGGAGGCGGCCGATCCGTGATTCTCTCTCATCATGGATGTTTCTCTCTCTCCCTCTTCCTTCCTGTCTGAAATCGATAAAAAAAAAATAGATATATTTTTTAAAAGGCGGTGGGGGGAGGGAGGGGGCAGAATTTCAGACCCGGAGCCCCCCAGCCCCACCCCCGGAAGAAGCCAGGCGACACTTGGACACGGTAGATACTTGTTTATAGAATAATAATAATAATAATAATAACAACAACAAAATAATCACGTGTTACACGAACTGTTAGAATAAAAAAGACACCTGTCTGAGGGGGTCCCCAGCCCGCGGGGGGGGGGGGGGGGGGGGTAGCACCATCGGGGCGCGAAGGGGGTTCGGGGGAGGTGGCACTGAGGTCCGTGCGGCTGTCAGTGGTCTGTCCATCGGTCGGTCGGTCGGTCTGCCGGTCGCCGGCCGGGGGCGGCTCAGCCGTGGCAGGTGAGGCAGCACCGGGCGCGGATGCTGGGCAGCCGGCAGCGGCCGAGGAGGCGCAGCCTCTCGCAGGAGCCGAAGGGCAGCCGGTCCAGCTCGCAGCCTGGGGGGGCGGGGGAGGGGCAGGGGGTCAGGGGGGCATGAGGGGGGCGGGGGGGGGCGGGGGTCGGGGGGCGGGGGTCAGGGCGCCCGCCTCTGCTCCCTGAAGCTACTTTGGTTTTCTTTGTTTTGTCTTGAAGTATTGACTTTATTTTTATTTTATTTTATTTATTTATTTTTTTTAATTTTTTTTTTTTTACAGAGAGGGAGAGGGATAGAGGGTCAGAAACATCGATCAGCCGCCTCCTGCACGCCCCCCACCGGGGATGTGCCCGCAACCCAGGTCCGTGCCCTGGACCGGAATCGAACCCGGGACCCTTCGGTCCGCAGGCCGACGCGCTACCCACTGAGCCACACCGGCCGGGGCCCTGGTGCTATTTGGGGAAGCAGCTGCGTCCAGGCCCCTGACCTCTGACCCCGCCCGGTGCCGCTGACAGCCCTCAGCTGCCACCCCGGCCCGGCAGCAGCGCCAAGCGGTGCGTCTGCAGATGGGCGTCCGGTTCCTGCCTCTTAACAGGGGGGCGGGGTGGCAGGCGGAGGGGCAGGTCCCAGCCCCGAGGGCCCCGACCTGACCGTCCTGAGGGGCCGGGGACCCACAGCCGATGGGCTGGGAGCTGCGGGGCCCCCTCGCCGGACGGGCACCCGGGCCGGCGTCCTGACCTCCCGACGGGGTGACAGTGCTTCCAGGGAAGACGCGTCCCCCCAGGACCTCCGGGCCCTTGTCCCCGAGTCCTCACAGGTGCTCCCGCCCCCCCGCCGCCCCCCAGGACGGGCTGTCAGCTGAGAGACGAGGACACAGAGGCCAGAGAGAAAGTGGGGGTTCCTGTGCTCAGCTTGGCGGGCGTCGGGGCTGCAGGAAGTGTGCGTGCGCGCGCATGGACACATGTATGTGTGCACATGTGTCTGTGCATTTGTGTGCGCGTGCATGATTGTGTGTGTACGTGCGCTCACATGTATATGTGTGCATGTGGGCACGTGGGCTGTGTGTACATGTTTGTGTGTGCATGTGTACACACACTCACACGTATGGTGTGGGCGTGTGCATGTGTGCGAGCGCGTGTGCCTGGGTGAGTCCCGAACCTGCCCCGGCCCAGGCCCGTCCTCCCGGAGGACCCAGGGGGCCCGGGAGCTGGGAGTGTGGGGGCCCCTGGGCGGGAGGCGTGGGGCTGGGGCTCAGCCGGGTCCGGCCTCTGGGCTCGGGGAGGGGCGTCCCGGCCTCACTCCGCGACCCGAGGGAGCAAGAGGTCGCCCAAGGTCACAGCAGCATGGGGTGCGGCCGCTGCCCGACCCCATCCAGCCCGGCTTCCCCAGGGCCCCCAGTCAGCCCTGTCCTGGGGGTGCCGCGGGCGACCCCCCCGCCCGCCCCGCCCTCCCCGAGGCCGGGAACTCACCCCGCTGCTGCCGCTGCTCGGAGATCTCGCAGTCCCGGGTGCCGCAGGGGCGGGCGCTGTCGGGCCAGGGCTCGTGGCCGCACTGCCGGTTGTCCTCCTCGGGCAGCCCCAGGTGGGTGTTCACGCAGCGGATCACCCGGCGCTGCACCCCTCCCCCGCAGGGGGCCGAGCACTGGGGGGGGCAGGGGCCGTCCGTCACCCCCAGCCTCACCCCCAGCCTCACCCCCGCCTCACCCCCAGCCTCACCCCAGCCTCACCCCCAGCCTCCCCCCAGCCTCTCCCCAGCCTCCCCCCAGCCTCACCCCAGCCTCTCCCCAGCCTCCCCCCAGCCTCCCCCCCAGCCTCACCCCAGCCTCACCCCCAGCCTCACCCCAGCCTCTCCCCAGCCTCCCCCCAGCCTCTCCCCAGCCTCCCCCCAGCCTCACCCCAGCCTCCCCCCAGCCTCTCCCCAGCCTCCCCCCAGCCTCCCCCCCAGCCTCACCCCAGCCTCACCCCAGCCTCACCCCAGCCTCTCCCCAGCCTCCCCCCCAGCCTCACCCCAGCCTCACCCCAGCCTCCCCCCCGCCTCCCCCCAGCCTCCCCCCAGCCTCACCCCCAGCCTCACCCCAGCCTCACCCCCAGCCTCCCCCCAGCCTCACCCCAGCCTCACCCCCAGCCTCACCCCCAGCCTCACCCCCGCCTCACCCCAGCCTCCCCCCAGCCTCTCCCCAGCCTCCCCCCAGCCTCCCCCCCAGCCTCACCCCAGCCTCACCCCAGCCTCCCCCAGCCTCCCCCCCAGCCTCTCCCCAGCCTCACCCCAGCCTCGGGCGGCCCACAGCCTCCCCCTGCTCCCCGCCCCGCCCCTCAGGTCGCCTGGGGAGGGGACCCGCCTGGGGGAGGCCAGGGCAGCCAAGGGCAGTGAGGGGGGAGGCGCCTCCCTGGCCAGGCTCTGTCCTTCCCGGCTGGGGTCTGACGTTGTCATCAACTTCGTTTTTTAATGTTTTTTGTTTGTTTGTTTTTTAGTGTATTTTTATCGATTTCAGAGAGGAAAGGAGAGGGAGAGAGACACATCACCGATGCCTGGCTGGTGTGGCTCAGTGGCTGGGTATCAGCCTAGGAACCAGGAGGTCACGGGTTCGATTCCCGGTCAGGGCACAGGCCTGGGTTGTGGGCTCGATCCCCAGTGCGGGGTGTGCAGGAGGCAGCTGAACCGTGATTCCCTCTCATCATGGATGTTTCTCTCTCTCTCCCTCCCCCTTCCTCGCTGAAATCCATAAAACATATATTACAAAAGAAACATCAGTAATAATCCTCACGCGAGGATGTCTTTCCATTGATTTTTAGGGCGAGTGGAAGGGAGAGGGAAAGACAGAGAGAAACCTCGATGGGTTGCCTCCCGCACGCGCCCCGATCAGGGCCGGGGAACCTGCAACCCAGGCAGCTGCCCTTGACTGGAATCGAACCCGGGACCCTTCCGTCTGCAAGCCCAGACCCTATCCACAGAGCCACACGGGCCAGCCTGCCCTGGACTTTGCACTGCTGCTCCCACCCCCACCCCACCCCTGGGCCCCCCTCTCCTCCCCGCCCCCCATGTCTGCAGGGCCCCCACGGGAGCCGGCCTTCGGTCCCCCTCACCTCGCCCCAGGGCCCCACCGCCCACTTGGTGCAGGGGTGCGTGTTGCAGGGCCGCGTGGAGTTGGGCCTCAGCGCCTCGGGGCACAGGCCGGGCTCGGGGCAGGTCACCAGGCGATGCTGCTCGCCCCCTCCGCAGGCCTCTGAGCACTGGGGGCGGGCGGGGCGGCAGGCAGGGCGTCAGGGCAGGGGCAGGGGAGGCCAGGAGCCCCCCATCACCCCTCCCCTCCCCACCCCACACCCCCAGACCCCGGACTCACCTCCCTCCAGGAGGAGGTGTACCAGCTCAGGCAGCGCTGCATCCCACAGGCCTGGCGGGCGGGCGGCTGGGCGGGCCCCGGCCAGCAGTGGAAGGGCCGCAGCGGCCGGAGGTCCCGCGTGTCCACGCACTGCACGTCCCGCACCGAGAACCCCCCGCCACAGCTGCGGGAGCACTGGGGGGGGGGGAGGGGGGACGGGCAGGCATGTGGACGGGGCGCAGGTGCACCCACACCTCCCCTGCCAGGGGCTGTCTGTCCCCCAAGGCCCAGGGGGAGGCGGGCAGGACAGCCTGGTGGGCGGGGGGGGGGGGGGTTGCTGCCCCGGGAGGGGCCGGAGGGAGAACGCAGAGTGGGTGAGCCCTGGCCGGTGTGTGTCTTCTTGGTTAATATATTCCTACTAGAGGCCTGGTGCACGAAATTCGTGCATTCAGGGGGGTCCCTCAGCCCGGCCTGCGCCCCCTCGCAGTCCGGGAGCCCTCGGGGGGGTGTCGGGGGGGGGGGCGGGGAGTGGGCCTAAGTCGGCAGCCAGACATCCTGAGGGTCCTGGGGAGGCTGGAGGCTCCCACCACCGCGGGTGCACTCGCCAGAGCCCGGCTTCTGGCGCACTGACCGCCAGGGGCCGGCTCCTGCGGCGAGCGTCTGCCCCCTGGTGGTCAGTGTGCGTCATAGCGACTGGTCGTTCTGCTGTTCAGTCGATTTGCATATTAGCCTTTTATTATATCGGATGGATGTCAGAGAGGAAGGGAGAGGGAGAGAGAGAAACACTGATGGGGAGAGGGAATCATGGATGGGCCGCCTCCTGCACGCCCCCCACTGGGGATGGAGCCCGCAACCCGGGCCTGTGCCCTGACCGGGAATCGAACCCTGACCTCCTGGTTCCTAGGTCCATGCTCAACCGCCGAGCCAGGTCAGCCGGGCGCCCTGGCCGGTGTGGCTCAGTGGATGGAGCACCAGCCGGCAGACCGAATGGTTCCGGGTTCGATTCCCGGTCGGGGCACAGGCCCGGGTTGTGGGCTCCATCCCCAGTGGGGGGCGTGCAGGAGGCAGCCGACCCATGATGCTCTCTCATCATGGATGCTTCTCTCTCTCCCTCTCCCCCTCTCTTCCTCTGAAATCAAGATATTTAAAATAAAATTTTTAAAAAAGCAGACTTGGTGAGAGTGAGACCCCAAGGGGTGTGGGGAGCACGAGAAAAGGGCGCAGGCGGGGGGAGGGGATGGTCACTGCCCCCCCCATAGCTGCAGGAATTGACCGAGTGACCCCACTTCCCTCGCCGCGGGTGGGTCCCTGCGGGTCAGCACCTCCCCCCGCCTCCCCACGCACCTTACTCCAGTTGCCCGCGTGCCAGGTGGCGCAGGGACGCAGGTGGCAGCGGCGGGCGGGCTGCGGGCGGCCCTCGGGCGCACAGTCCTCCTCGCGGCCAGAGCTGCAGCGCACGAGCCTCCAGGAGGCACCCAGGCCGCAGGTGGTGGAGCACTGGGCGGGGGGGTGCGGGGGGCCGGGGCGTGAGGGCGGGGGTCCCAGGCGCCCCACATCCGGGCCGCCCATCGGGGGAGCAGGGGTGAGTGTGTGTGTGTGTGTGTGTGTGTGTGTCTGCGCTCCCAGGGCCTCAGTTTTCCCATCTGCAAAATGGGCTCCTCCGCCCACCTCCCCAGGGGATGGCGAGGATGAGACGTCCCTGCTCGGAGGGGACCCAGGGGAGGGGACCCCGCTGTCCAGACGGAACCAGCTGGGGAGGAGGTCTGGGTGCCTCGCTGGGCCTCCGTCGGTCCCACCCCACCCCTACCCCCACCCCACCCCCACCCCCACATGAGGGACCTTAACAGAAGCTTCCTCCTCCTGCAGGGACAATCTGGGGTCTGGAGGGGAAGGTAGGGGGGGTTCCATGCCTCTTGGATCCCTATAGGCCCCGAGAGCAGATACAGCCGGAGGAGAGAGCCTGGGGGGCCCTGCTAATGGGAGGCTGCCCCACCCGCAGCTGCTGGGAATGAGCTCCCCGTCCCCGGGGGCATTCAAGTCTGAGGGAGAAGAACACTCCGGCCGCCCCTCATCAGTGGCCCCTGTGCTGGTCAGGGGAGGGCCTCTGTGGCCTCCAGACCCCCTCGGCCTACCCCCCACCCACCACTCAGCAGGGAAACTGAGGCACGGGGGTCACGACCCCCCGACACTTGCCTGGCTCCAGTCTCCCACTTCCCAGCTGGCATTCCTGGTCGGCGGCGGGCCCAAGGGGCCTCTGCTGCTGTCAGAGGGCCTGTCCCCCGCTGGGCTCAGGGGGGTGGCCCCAGGCTCTCGGTCCCCGGGCACGGCTGGGGTCTGCAGGTCCCGTGGGGCCGGGCCGGGCTGAGCGCCAGGCAGAGAGGCCGGGGGAGGAGCAGACCCCACGGGGGGCCACAGCTCCTCGGAGTCAGGCCTTGGCGAGGGGTGGGTGGAGGACAAAGGGGATGACTCGGGGATCCCCGGCAGGGGCAGGCCCAGGGGCCCTAGGGCGCCGTCCTCGTCCTCCGGGACCTCGTTGGTGCTCTCCCACCGCGGCCGGGGCGGCCGGCTGGGGGCCGGGGACTCCTGGTGGCCCCCAGGGGTGGCAGGCGTCGCGCCCACAGAAGCGGGGGGCCAGGGTGAGCTGGGGAGCCCCAGGGCCGGGGTCCCCGTGGGGGCATCGCCCTCGGGTAAGAAGTTGAGCAGGGGGTCCCAGGGCGTCTGGCCCGAAAGCGGGGGCAGGTGGGGGCCGGCCGGGCTGGGCCCAGGGGCGGGGGGCATCGTGGGGGGCTCGGCGGGGCCGCCCCGGGGTGGGGGGGGGGAGGGCCGGTCCCCCGGGCCCACGGGGTCCAGGCCCAGCTCCTCGTCCTCGTCCTGGGACAGGTTCTCGTGGAACCGGATGAAGTTGTAGTCGTAGTAGAAGTCGTCGACCAGCGCGGGCCCCGGCGGGCCCAGCCCCGGCCCGTCCTCCCCGATGGCGTTGTCCTGGCCGGTGGGCCCCGCGGGCGGCAGCGGGGGCGCAGGCGGGCGGTGGGTCGGGGAGCGGGGCCCGGAGTCCACCTCGTTGTCCAGCTCCAGGCCGAGGAAGCCGCTGCCGCCACCGCCGGAGCCGTCGGGGTCTGGGACGTCCAGCTTCTGCAGGCAGGGCCGCAGGAGGCACGGCGCCTGGCTGGGCGGCCGCTGGGCCTCGTCGCAGGGGACGCCGGTGTCCTGGGTGCAGGCGACGGCTCGCCGCTGCGTGCCCGGCCCGCAGGTCGCGGAGCACTGCGGGGAGGACGGCCAGGGTGGGGACGCGGCCGGCCGGGCGCTCACCGCCGGCCCCAGAGCCCCCTCCCGCCCCGTCCAGCCCCGTCCAGCCCCACACGCGCCCTTGACCGCGCCTGGTGACCGAGGCGCCCGCCAGGGTATCCCAGTCCCCCCCGGTTCGGGGACGAGCTGGACCTGGAATGCCCAGCCCCCCTCCCACCAGGGTGCCTGGCAGCCAGGGCTCCCCTGCAGCCCAAGCCCAAGAGGGGAGCCGCCCGGCCGGCGTGGCTCAGTGGTGAGCGTCAACCTAGGAACCAGGAGGTCAGGGTTCGATTCCCGGTCAGGGCACATGCCCGGGTTGTGGGCTTGACCCCTAGTTGGGGGCGTGCAGGAGGCAGCCGATCCGTGATGCCCTCTCATCAAGGATGTTTCTAAAGGGTGTCCCAAAATTCACGCAAGACTTGAATTCTGCGTGAGCATTAACAACAACAACAAATAAAAGCCTGATTTGACTTGGTTGATTGGATCAGATTCTCATATCTGTTGCCCTTGGATGCCAATCCCTTCCATTGGATCAGCATCCCCAAGTACCAATGATGGCCCAGGAGCAGGGACAAGGAAGACCCATGAAGACCACGGCTTTGCGTCTGTGCCAGCAAAGCCGGGGAGGCCATGGACCCGATGTGCTGTTCCATATATAACCCTAGACTGTATGCTTTACGAATCAATAAAAAATTTACAATTTTTATTTATAAACCTGTGTTTTCTATCAAAATTACTTCTTGCGTAAATTTTGGGACACCCTTTACCCCCCTCTCTCTCTCCCTTTCCCATTCCTCTCCGACATCAATAAAACATAGATTTAAAAAAAAAATAAAAAGGGCGGAGCTGGGGGCAGGCCCCTCCACCCCGATGCTCACCTCCGTCCACTGCCCGAAGGCCCACCTGGCCGGGCAGGGCACGTGGTCATTGCAGGGGTTTACGGCCGGAGGCCGCGGCCGGTGCCGGCAGTCCGAGGGCGTCAGGGCCATGAAGGATCCCAGCCCCAGGCTGCGGAGGCAGTAGACGGTCCGCTGGGCGACGCCCCCGGGCCCGCAGGATCTGGAGCAAGGGTGCCACCGATCGGCCCACCACCTGGGGGGACACGGGGGCATCAGCACAGCTGTGGCCGGTTACCGCCCCCCCTCCCCCAGGCACGCGGGGTCTCGGAGGCCTCAACCCAGGGGTGGTGTCCCCCGAGCTCCAAGGCCAGGTCAGCCCATGCACCCGCCCCCCCAAGGCCCAGGGGCAGTGCAGGGACCCTTCACAAGGCCACCCTCACCCCCGGGGACCCAAACCACGTGAGCAGGAGTGGCCGGGGGCTGGGCTGCAGCTGGAGAGAGAGGCTCAGAGCCTCTTGGGGGGGTCAGAAGTTTGGGGGGTCAGGGGGGCTCACATGGCGGGGCAGGGCTCCTGGCTGCATATCCTCTGGCGGTCCTCGGGCGGGCCCAGGAATTCACAGTATCTGCTGTCCACAGTCCCGTGCAGCCGTTCGGTGCAGTGCACGGTCTGCTTCTGTATGCCTGGGGTGCAGGGGTGAGGGGTGAGGCCCGGGGCTCAGCGCCCCCACCTCCAGATATGGCCATGCCCACTCTGCTCAGAGCTCCCCAGAGCAAGGCCCCCCCGGACCCCAGCCGGGGAGGAGCAGAGAGTGGAGGTTCCGTGGGTTAGGGCTTCCTAGTTGGAGGCCACGGGCAGCTCATGGGGGCCACTCTGAACCTCAGAGTCTTCATCTGTCAATGAGAGGAACCAGAACAGCTCCCCAGCCCGGCCGGCGTGGCTCAGTGGATGAGCGTCGACCTAGGAACCAGGAGGTCACGGTTCAATTCCGGGTCAGGGCACATGCCCGGGTTGCAGACTCCATCCCCAATAGAGGGGCGTGCAGGAGGCAGCCGGTTCATGGTTCTCTCTTATCATTGATCTCTCTCTCTCTCTCTCCCTCTCCCTTCCTCTCTGAAATCAATAAAATTATATTAAATAACAGCTACCTTGAAGCTCGGGTCTGAGGATGACATGTGCACAAAGCCAGAGCCCCACGGGGGCTCCACGGGGTGGCCGGCCGCTGCTAGCGTGCAAGCTACCCAGGGACCGGTGAGCTGGGCCCATTTTACAGATGGGGAGAGTGAGGCTCAGAGCAGCAAAACCCCAGGCTCCATGAGCTGGCTGGAGGCCGAGGCCGGCATCCCCGCCCAGGGACCCGGCCCGCACCCTCACCTCTGCCGCAGGTGACCGGGCACTCGGTCCAGGCCCCGTAGGCCCAGGAGAACTCGGACGCCACGCCCGGGGGGCTCGCTTCCTGGTGGATGGTGTACTCGTAGTACAACCCGGGGTTGTTCTCATAGAACAGCATCTGGGAGGCGGGGGGCGGGGGGGCCGTGAGCTCGCAGCATCCTCTCCCCCCACCCAGCTCCCCCTGGGACCCAGGGCCACTTTAGAGATGGGGAAACTGAGGCAGGGCGCTCCCACCCACCCACACCCACACATACACATAGGACAGCCAGGCCAGAGCCAGGCTCTGGGACTGCCCCCAGGCCTTCTCCTGCCCTAGGGCCAGGGTCCCTTGGATCGGCCTCTACCTGGCCCGGGGTAGGGGGGTAGGGGGCGGGGGGGGGGCAGGCACCTGGATCCAGATGGACTCATTGGTGGGGCCCGGAGACGTGAGCTTCTCCAAGTTGCCGTCGCGCTCGTAGGTGAACGTGGTGCCTGCGATCTGGTAGTCGCCAACGTACTGAATCTTCAAGCCTCCGTTGAGGTAGTACTTCCCCGGGTCCCCGCCCCGAAGGGCCAGGAAGTTGGTGGACTCGGCCACCTCCTTGATCAGGATTTCACGGGCGCCGGCCGGGATCTGCCCCACGTCCACGTACCCTGGTGGTCAGGGTGGTGCCCGGGTCAGCAGCTGGCTGCCCCCGCCTCCTCCCTCCCCTCTCTTCCCGGCCGGCCCCGCCACTGGCTTAAGATTCTGAGCTGTATGCCCGGCCGGCGTGGCTCCGTGGCTGAGTGTCGACCGAGGCACCAGGAGGCCACGGTTCGATTCCCCGTCAGGGCCCGGGCCCGGGTGGCGGGCTCCATTGATCCCCAGCGTGGGGCGTGCAGGAGGCAGCCGGTCCATGATTCTCTCTCATCATGGACGTTTCTCTCTCTCTCTCTCTCTCTCTCTCTCTCTCTCCCTCTCTCTCCCTCTTCCTTCCTCTCTGAAAGCAATAAAAATATATTTGAAAAGTAAACGTTGAAGATAAATAAATAAATAAGCAAACACCACGGGGCCCCAGGGACACCCCCCTCCCTCGGCACGGGCCTCTGTCCTCTCGCTTCCCGGCATCCATCCCGCGCCTGCGATTGCCCCGAGCACTACCCACGGGTCACAGCCCTGTGCCGTGGGCACCGCGGGGGCCCCGTGTCACAGGCGGGGATGCGAGGGCGCCGATCGGTGAAGCCGTGGTGAAGGGTTCTCCTGGGCTGTGCACCGGGTCTGAGTGATGCCGGCCATGCTGGGCAGCTTCCCTGAGAGGGGACCTAACCCTGCCTCCCTCGCAGGCCCCGACCGGAGGCCTTCCTGCCTCCAAGCTGTGTGTGTGTGTGGCACAAGCTCTTTCCTTCCGGCGGTGATGCCTCTGCCACCTCCTACAGGCAGTCTTCCTGGATTTCCCCCAGGTCAGAGACCTCTTCCACCCCCATGCCCTCCCAGCCCTCTGGGCCTCCCTCCGCTGCATCTGTGAGGCTAAAAGGCCCTGTGACCCTATCAGACTGTGAGCCCTTAACGGCCAGGTCCCCCTCGCTGGGAGGGGGGAAGTGGGGCTGCCGACACCTGGAGAGGAGGGAGACTCTGAAGCTTCCTGACAAGGCAGTAACCCTCGGGAAAGGCCTGAGAGCTCCCCGTGAGCCTGAGCCGCCCCGCCTGGGGTGCCTGGGGTGCCTGGGGTCCCCGGGACAGGAGGACACCCTGGGGGACAGGTCACTGTGTCTGTGCCAAGTGTCTCATGGGCTTGGATCCTGGACCAAGCTCACAGCCAGGTGGAGACGGTGGGGGCCCAGGGGGGCCCAGGAAGGGCCCGGGGTCCCCCCACCACAGGGGGTGCCGCCCGTACCGTTGGGCCCATTTTCCTGGAACACCCAGCTCAGGGTGTGGCAGGTGGAGCCGTTGCCCCCGCACACGCCACAGCGGTCCTCCACGGCGCGGGAGTCGATCTGATAGTCGCAGCCCACGTTCTGCAAGACAGGGGGTGCGGGGGAGGCCCCGGGGCGGGGGCGTGGGCTGGGAGGAGACCCCAGGCGACCCCCCCTGCCTCCCCAGATGTGAATAGACGGACCCCTGCTGTGAGGCTGGGTGGTGAGGCTGCAGGAGAGGAGCCATGGGGCAGGGAGTGGGGAAGGGAGTGGGGGCAGGGGGTGCTCAGGGCGGGCGGGAATCGGGTCCCGGGCCCTGGGGTTCACACCCCCGGCGGCTCCGCCTCGGAGCTCAGGCCTCAGTGGCTTCACCTCCCAGAAGCAGGAGAAAGACAGTGGCTGGGCCCCAATGGGGTGCGAACGTGGGTGGGGGGAGGAGCCTGGGGGGGCAAGGGGGCCGGGAAGCGGGGGATGGGGGCGCTTTGCAGAGAGGTGACGGGGTGGGAGGGTTGAGGGGGGAGGGGGCATCCAACGGGGTCACGGCAGAACCGGGAAACCGAAAAGCCTGCAGCTTGGAGAGGAGCTCAGAGGAGGCGCTGTGGGCGGGGCAGGCGGCGGAGACCCGCCCGGGGGGCGTGGCTGGTAAAGGAGGTCGGCTCAGGGGCGGGGCCTGTGGTGGAGACCCTCCTGGGGGCGGGGCCTATGATGGAGACCCGCCCAGGGGCGTGGCTGGCAAAGGAGGTCGGCTCAGGGGCGGGGCCTGTGGTGGAGACCCTCCTGGGGGCGGGGCCTATGATGGAGACCCGCCCAGGGGCGTGGCTGGCAAAGGAGGTCCACTCATGGGCGGGGCCTACAGTAATGACCCTTCTAGGGGCGAGGTTATGGTGGGGACCCTCCAAGGGGCGTGGTCTATAGTAAAGACCCTCCCAGGGGCGGGGACCCTCTCAGGGGCAGGGCCAACAGTGGGATCCTCCCAGGCGGCGGGGCCTACAGTGGAGACCCTCATGGGGGTGGGGCCTATAGTCGGGGACCCTCCCATGGGGCGGGGTCTAAAGTAAAGACCCTCCTATCGTGCGGGACCTACAGCGGAGACCCTATCAGGGGGCGGGGCCTACAGTATAACCCTCCCGGGGGGCGGGGCGGGTGATGGCGACCCCCAGGGGCACACCTGGCAGATGCCGTTGATGCAGACGTCTCGGTTGCCCCGGCGGCCCTCGTAGCAGGGCGTGCCGTCCAGCACGGCGTCCCGGAACCTGTCGCTGAAGGACTCGCCCTCGGGCTTGCAGTGCAGCTCGCAGGGGGTCACTGGGGGCGCAAGTGCAGGAGCCGTGAGGGACCCCGGGGCAGGGTCTTGGGGATCCCCAGGACGCCCCCCTCCACGACGCGCACGGACGGACGGACGGACGGACGGATGCAGCTGGGGCGGGGGGGGGGGGGGGGGGAGGTGGCCGAGCAGCACAGACGGGCTGCCATCCGCCAGGGCGAGGGGAGCGCCCCGCTGGCCAGAGGGGAGCGGCCCGGGCGCAGGCTCGGGGGGCGCAGGACTCACGGTCGGTCAGCTGGGGCTCCCACTTGTACCGCCGGCCCTTGTAGAGCGTGGAGTCGAAGTGGCCGCACTGGACGGCGCGGAAGGAGGGGCTGCCCGGGGCGCAGTTCTGCACGTTGCAGAGGCGCACGCGCTTCCGCTCGCCCACGCAGTACCTGCCCCTGTTCTTGGGCCTGTGGGCGAGCCGAGAGGGGGCTCAGCGCAGGCCAGGGAGTGCCCACGGCACCCCCCAAATGCACCCCCTAAATGCACCCCCCTAATGCACCCCCTAAATGCACCCCCCAAGGTACCCCTCTGCTGTGTGACCCCGGGCAAGTGTCCTGCCCTCTCTGGGCCGGCTTCCTCATCTATAAGATGGGGTCGGGGCCCTGGCGGGTTTGGCTCAGTGGTTAAGCGTCGGCCTGCGGACCAAAGGGTCCCGGGTTCGAATCCCAGTTGGGGCACGTGCTGGGGTTGCGGGCTCGATCCCCAGTAGGGGGCGCGCAGGAGGCAGCCGATCTATGATTCTCTCTCATCATTGACCTCTCTCTCTCTCTCTCTCTCTCTCTCTCTCTCTCTCTCTCTCTCTCTCTCCCCCTCTCCCCTCCTCTCTGAAATCAATAAAAATGTATATATATATATTTTTAAAAAGTTTAAAATGGGTTGTGGCTGTTGAGACGCTGGGACAAGCCGGCCGCTAACACCGCTCAGACAGGGGGCAGGGGTGAGGCAGGGGTACAGGCCACAGTCCCGGCCACACACCGGGCCTTGGGTGGGGCTGGCTCTGAACTCCACACACACCCCGTACCCCGGGTCATAGCGTGTCCCTCCTCCCAGCCGATCACCTCAGACCCACTCTGATGCCACCGAGCAGCTCCCACTTATGTGCCCCTGATCCCCTCATCCACAGGCCGGCACTGCTGGGACCCCATCATGCAGCTTCTCTGGAAATGGAGGCCCAGGGGAGGGGGGAGCAGGCTCTCACACAGGGGTGTGTGTGTAGGGGGACTTGAGTCCTGACCCATCTAAGGCCAGGGTCTAAGGGCTTGACCGCTGTTTGCTCCTGCCTCCCTCCCGCCGGCTGATGCGTCCTTCCAGTCCCCGGGCCTCAGTGTGCCCCTCTGTGCAATGGGTCAGCAGTGGGGAGGAAATATCCACCAGTGACCCGAGGAAATTGGCTGGAAATTCTGGGTTTGGCCCCTGTTTGTGGGGACACTTCTGACAGCCGGGGATTGGGACAGAGCCGGGTCCCCTCCATCCCCCCAGCCCCAGGCCTGGGACCCCGCACTCACTCAGGCTCTGTGCACTGCCTCTCCGAGCCCTGCACGCCCGCTCCGCAGCTCCGCGAGCAGGTGGACCAGGCGCTCCAGCCCGACCAGCTGCCGTCCACCACCTCGGGCTGCACGTCCAACGGCACGCACTCCCCGCCCAGGCACCACTGCGGGGAGACCGGGAGGTGAGGCCACTGCCCCAAGCCTGTCCCTCACGCTCCCCCTCGTGGGAAACAGGTGGGGGTGGGGAGGCCTGGAAAGGGACGAAGGAGAAGTATCCAGCCCAGCCCGTGTGGCTCAGTGGTGAGCGTGGACCTAGGAACCAGGAGGTCACGGGTTCGATTCCCGGTCAGGGCACAGGCCCGGGTGGCAGGCTCGAACCCCAGTGTGGGGTGTGCAGGGGGCAGCCGGTCCATGGTTCTCTCTCCTCGTGGATGCTTCTCTCTCTCCCTCTCCCTTCCTCTCTGAAGTCAATTTTTAAAAAAGAAAAAAAGAATTTTATACTGACTGTCTATTTTAAAGCACACTCCCAGATAGACAGTATGGCCGCTTACAGTATTTAAGATATAGCAAGGACATGGCTGATTTTTTTCTTTTTATAAAAAATTGGCACTAAGAAGTGGGTTTATTGGTCTTTTCTAATTGTATAATTTAATTGAGTACAAAGTTTGTAAAATATCAGAGGATATATGCATGTTGTTTCTACGACATGGTATGCATTTATATCTTTTTACTACAGTGATCTGTGACAGCAGAAGCTTCATGTTTTTTTGTGTTTTTTCTTTTTTACTGAAATTGTAAAATATCCATCTTAAAGACATCAAATATTCTAAAACTGTGTATGGGATATTCCTTTAGTGGTGGAATTAAAATGTATGAATATTTGCTTTTTCAAAAAATGTATCTTCTGTTAAAGGTTTAAAGATTTTTGCTGCCCTGACCGGTTTGGCTCAGTGGATAGAGCGTCGGCCTGCGGACTGAAGGGTCCCAGGTTCGATTCTGGTCAAGGGCATGTACCTTGGTTGCGGGCACATCCCCAGTAGGGAGTGTGCAGGAGGCAGCTGATCGATGTTTCTCTCTCATCGATGTTTCTAACTCTCTATCCCTCTCCCTTCCTCTCTGTAAGAAACCAATAAAATATATTTAAAAAAAAAAAAACAAAAAAGATTTTTGCTATATATTATGGAAGAAAAATGTAATCATAAATATTAATTTCGTACCTATATTGTGCAATACTTGAAAAAATGGTATAAAAGTATTTTGAGTTGGTGTCTTACATGTTACGAGGGACTGAAATAGTTTATATTAAGTTTGTATTACAATTCTTTAAAATTAGCCCTAACCAGTTTGGCTCAGTGGATAGAGCGTCGGCCTGCGGACTGAAGGGTCCCGGGTTTGATTCCAGTCAAGGGCATGGACCTTGGTTGCGGGCACATCCCCAGTGGGGGGCGTGCAGGAGGCAGCTCATCGATGTTTCTCTCTCATCAATGTGTCTAACTCTCCATCCCTCTCCCTTCCTCTCTGTAAAAAACCAATAAAATATATTTTTAAAAAAGAATAATTTAAAATTAAAAAAAAAGAAAGAAAGGGGGGTTATCCAAGGAGTGGGGGAGTCCCTCCCAGGCCCCACAGGGGAGCCGAGAGCAGACAACGCAACAGACTCTGAGCTGAAGACGCCTGGGAGAGTCGCTGAATGAGCCCCTAGGTGTGTCCATTGTGCAGACTGGGGCTGGGCTGGGCGGGGCTGGGGGGGGCAGGGGTCTGCTAAGAGCATGCAGGGTCTGCTAAGAGCATGCAGGGTCTGCTAAGAGCAGGCCCCATCTGGGGACCAGGCTGACACCCCCCCACCACCAGCACCGACCCAGCAGGCGGTCTGGCCTGCACAGCTGGGCCGGGGCGCCCCTACCTTCTGATTCCCGCACGGGGTGCCGTCCACCACTGGGTCCTTCTTGGTCTGACAGGCGCGGAGCACGGAGCACCAGAGCATCCCGCAGGGGTTCTGCCGGAGGGGGGCGAGAGCCACAAGCTGACCCCCTCCCCAGGCACCCCCTCCCCCCCCCCCAGCCGGTGCCCACGAGTCCCCGGGGCCCCTCCAGGGCCTGGCACCTGGCAGGGCTAAGCCAATGGGACCCTCAGGGCCCTTTCGCCTGCTCCGGGCCAGGTGGTGCTGTGGGGACCCCGAGACCGGCTGGGCTGGAAGGAGCGGCCTGGCCCCCGCCCACGGCAGAAGCCACGGGGTCTGCGTGACATGCCGTGGCTGTGCCTCCGGGCGACCTGCCCCGGGACCGGACGCTGAGATGCTGTTTAACCTCTCGGGTTCGCGACCGATGTGCCTCTCTCACATCGATGTTTCCCTCTCCCTCTCTCCCTCTCTCCCTCTCTCCCTCTCTTCCGCTCTCTCTAAAAACCAATGGGAAAATATCCTCGGGGAGGATTAAAAAAAATAAATAGAATAACCGCTTAGAGTCGGCCCGGCCGGAGTAGTGGCTCAGGGGCTGAGCTGAGCATCGACCCGTGAACCCAGAGGTCACGGCTGGATCCCAGTGTGGGGCCTGCAGGAGGCAGCTGATCAGTGATTCTCATCGTTGATGTTTCTCTCTCTCTCTCCCTCTTCCTTCCTCTCTGAAAGCAATAAATATATATTAAAAAACAAACAAACACAAAATGACAAGCCCTGGCTGGTGTGGCTCAGCGGATAGAGCGTCGGCCTGCGGACTGAAGGGTCCCGGGTTCGATTCCGGCCAAGGGCACAGGCCCGGGGTTGCGGGCTCGATCCCCAGTGCGGGACGTGCAGGAGGCAGCTGGTCCATGATTCTCTCTCATCATGGATGTTCTATCTCTTCCTCCCTCTTCCTTCCTCTCTGAAATCAATACAAATATATTAAAAATGAATAAATAAATTTTTTAAAAAAAGAAATCAATGGAAAAATATCCCCGGGTGAGGTTTAACATAAAACTAAAAATTAAAAAATATAGCCCTGACCGGTGTGGTTCAGTGGATAGAGCGTCGGCCTGCGGACGGAAGGGTCCCGGGTTCGATTCCGGTCAAGGGCGTGTACCTCGGTTGCGGGCACATCCCCAGTGGGGGGTGTGCAGGAGGCAGCCGATCAATGCTTCTCTCTCATCGATGTTTCTGGTTCTCTATCCCTCTCCCGTCCTCTCTGTAAAAAATCAATAAAATATATTTTTTAAAAAATCAATAAAATATATTTTTTTAAAAAATATATATATAATAACCTCTGAGGTTCAGCTCCAAGTGGGGGGTAGCAGGGGGGCGTTGCCCACAGTCGCACAGCTGGGGACAGTCCCCCCAGAACTCAGCCCTGGGCCTGGGGCCACCCAACCTGAGCCGCACCTCTCCCAGCAGGTGTCCCGGGCGCCCGGCCGGGCCCAGGGCGCCCGTGCCAGGAGGGTGAGTCCTGCCCTCGGCTCCCCCCCCACCCCGGACCCCCCTCCACCTCCACTCACATCCAGGTCTGTGCAGTACACGGAGCCGGCCCCGTACTGCAGGCGGCACTGGTGGTTGGCGTCATACAGGACCCCGGGCAGCAGCGAGGGCTGAGGGATGACGTCCCTGGCAGGCGGGTCATCCAGGCACGTGCCGAAGCCACGGCTGCAGAGACGGGACGGCCGATGGGTGAGGGGGCCGGAGGGCAGGACGGACGAGGGCCGGACAGACGGGCATGCGGACGCCTGCAGGGACTCAATCCTCCCCTGCCCGGCCCAGCCCGCCCGGCCTGCCTACCGCATCCCCTGGCCCCGTGGTCGGCGAACTGCGGCTCGGGAGCCACAGGCGGCTCTTCCTAAGCCTTAGCAGGACCCTAATAAAGTGAATAACAATGCACCTGCCTAGAGTGTTTAAGTTTAAAAAATCTGGCTCTCCAAAGAAATTTCAATCGTTGCGCTGTTGGTATTGGGCTCCGTGGACGAATGAGTTTGCCGACCACTGAGTCCTGGCCGCACGACTCACACCCACCCCCCAGCACCAGGCTTCTGCAAGGCTCCTCTCACTCCCCCCCATCCAGCCCTCCCGCCCCCCCAAACCTCTGCACAGCTCAGCCCCCCAGGTGGCCCTGCTCCAGTCCCTGAGGCCTCTGCCCCTCTGCCCGGGGCACAGAGGGACCCCTGAGCTCCCATCCCAGCTGATGGTCCCCGAGGCCTCTTTGCAAGGATCCGGCAGGAGAGCCAGGGGCGGCCCGGGGCAGAGGGTGAGGGGCGGGCAGCCGTGGTCAGGCTGCCGGTGCCCCCCTGTGTGTCGGCTCTCGGGGCTGCTGTCCCCATCCCACCGCCAAGCGAACCTCAAGCACTTCACCCCAAATAGACGTGCAGAGCCATGGCATTGAGGCCTGGTGCGGGGGTGGGAGGAGGGGGGGGAGGACAGGGCTTTGGGGGCTCGCTGGGCCTGCACCCCGTGGCAGAATGTCAGCTAGGGTGCGGGTGGGTCAGCCTGGCCTGGGGGCTCCCCAATCTTCTGACTCAGCCTGGCCTGGGACAGGCCTCGGCCCCACACCAGGCTCCCAGCACCGACCTGTCGCTCACAACCTGGCAGGTCCGTCCTATATGAGCGTGAGAGGGAGGGCGCCCCAAGGAGGCCCCCCTGCAGGACCCACCACCAGAATCGGGGCCACACGCAGGCCCAGGTGCGGACCGGAGCGTCAGAAACCCCAGTTCCAGCCCTGGCCGGTGTGGCTCAGTGGATAGAGCGCTGGTGGGCCTGTTGACTGAAGGGTCCCGGGTTCGATTCCCGGTCAGGGCACGTGCCCAAGTTGCAGGCTCGATTCCCAGTTGGGGGACGTGCAGGAGGCAGCCGATCCGTGATTCTCTCTCATCATGGATGTTTCTATCTCCCTCTCCCTTCCTCTCTGAAATCAATAAAAATATACTTAAAAGGGAAAAAAGAAAAGCCCTAGCCGGTGTGGCTCAGTGGATAGAGCGTCGGCCTGCAGACCAAAGGGTCCCGGGTCCGATTCCGGTCAAGGGCACGGACCTCGGTTGCAGGCTCCTCCCCGGCCCTGGGCCCTGGTCGAGGTTCATGCAAGAGGCAACCCATCGATGTGTCTCTCTGTCTCTCCCTCTCCCTTCCACTCTCCCTAAAAAAGATCAATGGAAAAATACCCTCGGGTGAGAATTAAAAAAATAAATAAATACATGCAGCCTATATAATAAAAGGCTAATATGCAAATCAACCGAACAGCAGGACGACCGGTCGCTATGATGCGCACTGACCACCAGGGGGCAGACGCTCCATGCAGGAGCCGCCCCCTGGTGATCAGTGAGCTCCCACAGGGGGAGCGCCGCTCAGCCAAGAATCTGGGCTCATGACTGACGAGCTTAGTGAGCCTCTCCCGCCTCCTCAGCAGTGCTAAGGACCCCTCTGGGGATGTCCGACTGCCGGCTTAGGGTCCCGGACTGTGAGAGGGCGCAGGCTGGGCTGAGGGAACCCCCCTCCCCACCCACCCACCCAGTGCACAAAAGTCGTGCACCGGGCCTCTAGTAAATAAATAAGAAAGCGCCACCCTGTGCCCAGCTCAGATGCTGTGTGGCCTCGGGCCATCCCGCACCCTCTCTGGGCTCATCCACAAAAGGATGAGGCCGCCTGGGTGACCTCACGCCACAGAGGTATAAATAGCAGCGTCCACTCGGGGGGAGTCACACCGGACCGGCAGCCGGCCCTTCCTTCCTGCGATCGGCTCCGCGCCCGGCCGGCTCCTCCCGCAGCCCACACCCCGCAGGCCCTGGACTGTCCCTCAGGCCTGCCCCCCGGCCCCCCTCGCTCCCATTATAGCCGGGCGGGCGGCCCCGCGTGAGGACCAGTCACACAGGGCTTGGCTCCAGGAGGCAGCCGCTCCCACCCCCAGGAGGGCACAGAGCTGCCCGCCACCTGAGGACAGACCTCACCCGCCCCCCCGGCCCCCCCCGCCAGCCCCAGTCCTGGGGTGACGGCCAGGGGGGCGGGGGATGCGGTGAAGGAGGGGACACACACTGGGGACAGCCTCTCCCTGCAGGGTCCCTGGCTCTGAGGGTCTGAGTGAGGAGGTGCCTCCTCCCTGATCACCCCCCAGCCCCCCACTGACCAAGCCACGTCCTCCACCCAGAGCACCCCCTTCTGCCGGACACCCCGGGAGTCTTTAATTTTTGTTTTAATCGTCACCCGAAGATATTTTTCCATTGATTTTTAGAGAGAGAGAGACGGACAGAAACATCGATGTGAGAGAGAGACCCATCGATGGGTTGCCTCCTGCAGGCGCCTGACCAGGGCCCGGGCCGGGGAGGAGCCTGCAACCCAGGTCCGTGCCCTTGACCGGAATCGAACCCGGGACCCTTCAGTCCGCAGGCCGATGCTCTATCCACTGAGCCACACCAGCTAAGGCCTCAGGAGTCTTTTTTTTGTCAGGGAGGACGGGAGAGGGAGAGAGAGAAGCATCCATGATGAGAGGATCACGGACCGGCCGCCTCCTGCACGCCCCCCACTGGGGATCGAGCCCGCACCCCGGGCCTGTGCCCTGACCGGGAATCGAACCCTGACCTCCTGGTTCACAGGTCGATGCTCAACCCCTGAGCCACGCCGGCCGGGGACCCAGGAGTCTTTAGAGGCGGCTTTCAGGGTCCTCGGCGCCCCCCGCCCCCAGATTGCTACACACCCACGGGGCCATCTGCTACGGCACTAACCCCCCCAACTGTCACGTGCTCGTCCCCCCAGGTGGGGAGGGCCCGAGGCCAGGCCCCCCCACATCTGTCCCCTGAGCACAGGGCTTGCTAGGGCTCTCGCCACAGCAGGAGGGCGACGCTGAGGTCACGTGGGGTCGCTCCCACCTGGGTCTGGGTGGCCCGGGGGCGTCCAGTGGGCACAGCCGGGAGGTCCCAGGACCTGGGAGCCTCCCCCAGACCCGCGAACACACGGCCCGAGGCACCTGCCGTGAATCTTGCTCACTCTGTCCCCCACCCGGACTGGGGGGAGGCGGGTCCTCTGTCTCCCATACCCCCTCCCCTGCCAGCAAAAAGACGGGGGGTGGGGGGATGCCTGGCCGGTGTGGCTCAGTGGTGGGAGCACCAGCAGCCCTTGGACTGAAGGGGCCCGGGTTTGAACTTCGGGTTTGAACCTCGGTTGCAGGCTCCATCGGGGGCCTGTGGGAGGCAACCGATCGGGGTGTCTCTCTCACATCGATGTTTCCCTCTCTCTCTCTCTGCCCCCTCTCCCTTCCACTCTCTCTAAAAATCAGTCGGAAAATGTCCCTCGGGCGAGGAGGATGAACAACCACAAAAAAGACAGAGGGCCCTGGCCAGTGTGGCTCAGTGGATAGGGCGTCGGCCTGCGGACGGAAGGGTCCCGGGTTCGATTCCCGGTCAGGGCACAGGCCCGGGTTGCGGGCTCGATCTCCACTAGGGGGCGTGCAGGAGGCGGCCGGTCCAGGATTCTCTCTCATCATGGATGTTTCTCTCTCTCCCTCTCCCTTCCTGTCTCTGACGTCAATACAAATATATATAAAAAATAACATAAAAGGGGACAGGCTGGTCCCACAGTCCCCATCCAAGTACCCCCTCTCCCTGGCCTTTGGGACGCCCCCTGCCGGACCCTCCGATGGCAAGGTGGCCTGGGTCGCCCGTGGGGAGGTGAGCACCCCTTCCTGGCCCCAGTGTCCCCCACCCTCGGCCGAGGCCCTGGGAGGCCTGGTGGCTCAGCGTCACCCTCTCCTCCCACCCCCGGCCCGGCCCTGAGCCAAGTCCGTTCCTAGTGCATTCCTATCCCCGAATGGGGACAGAGGCCCGTCTGTCCGTCCGTCTGTCCAGGAGCCAGGGTGCTGGGCAGGGCCGTGGGTGGGGGCAGCGGGGAGCTCGCCCCGGGGCAGGGAGGGAGAGGCTGGTGGTGGGAGTCTCCAGCCCATCCTGGGCCCCCATCTCGGGGTGGGGGGGAGACACACACACACCCAGCCTTGGGGCTGGCTGGTCAGCTCTGCCCTCCACTCTGTCCCTTATCAGCTCTGACCTTTCGCTTGGACAGCACTGCCCCGGCCTTGAATGCTGAGCATGCGGCGGTCAGGAGGCCCAGCACGTCCAGCGGGCGGTGGCTGCGTCCCCATGGGAATCCCAGACCCGCACCCTCGTCCTCCGGGCGTCCAGGCTTCGGGGGGGGGGGGGGGGCTTGTCCGACGGAGCGGGCAGGAGCCTGGCCGGAGCCCTGAGTATATCTTATCTTTTTCCTCCTCCTTCCTCTCCCACGACCCATGACCCTGCCCTCCTCTTACCTTGTGTGTGTGTGTGTGAATTCTCACCCCAGGATATTTTTACATTTCTTTCTTCTTTTTCTTTTTTTTTTAATATATATATTTCTTTATGGATTTCAGAGAGGAAGGGAGAGGGAGGAAGAGATGGAAACATCCATGATGAGAGAGAATCATGGATCGGCCGTCTCCTGCACGGCCCCCACTGGGGATTAAGCCCGCAACCTGGGCCTGTGCCCTTGGCCAGAATGGAACCCGGGACCCTTCGGTCCGCAGGCCGACGCTCTATCCACTGAGCCACACGGGCCAGGGCTTCTGTTTGATTTTTGTTTTTTTTTAAAGAAGCATTTAGTGCATGCTTCCTTTTATTTTATTTTATTTTTTAAAAATATATTTTTATTGATTTTTTACAGAGAGGAAGGGTTAGGGAGAGAGAGTCAGAAACATCGATGAGAGAGAAACATCCATCAGCTGCCTCCTGCACACTCCCTACTGGGGATGTGCCCGCAAACAAGGTACATGCCCTTGACCGGAATCGAACCCGGGGCCCTTCGGTCCGCAGGCCGGCACTCTATCCACTGAGCCACACCGGCCACGGCCAGAGTCGGGTTCTTAACCATCTGATTGGAGGCGTCTCCTCTGCGTCCACTCCCTCTCTCCCTCCAGGCCCCCCTCGCTGCTAGAGCCACAGTCCTCGTCCTCAGACCCCACAGGGAGTGGACGTCAAGAAAAACAGGGCAGCCAAAACCGGTGTGGCTCAGTGGATAGAGCGTCGGCCTGCGGACTGAAGGGCCCCGGGTTCGATTCCGGTCGGGGCACAGGCCTGGGTTGCGGCTCCATCCCCAGTGGGGGGCGTGCAGGAGGCGGCTGCCATGATTCTCTCATTATTAATGTTTCTCTCTCCCTCTCCCTCTCCCTTCTTCTCTGAAATCAATAAAAATAAATGAAAGAAAACCTTCGACAGAAAAGAAATAGTTCTGATCGTAGCTACAATCAAAGAGAGACTTTGCAGGGAGCAGAAGAAAAACGAAAATCCGTGTAATGACCCCAGAAAGATGAGAGAGGGTGCCAGCCCCTCTGAGGTTAAAGGGCAAGAGAGAGGGGGGCAGAACTAGGATATCGGGGAGCAGCCATCATTGTAAGAAACAGTGATCGCGCTCGGTCAACCGGGATGGTTCTGTTCTGATTAGAGGAGGCGCCGTCTAGCCTGATGGGACCTGGGAGCTCACCTGGAAGTGCAGCCCAACCTCCCCGCCCGGGAGCTGCCTGTTACCATGGAAACATGACAACCTGGTCGCAGAAACCAGGGCCCCCAGCCCTTTGAGGACCCCAGCCCTTTGCACACCCACAGGCCTTTGCAGACCCCCAGCCTTTGCAGACCCACAGCCTTTGCAGACCCCCAGCCTTTGCAAACCCCCAGGCCTTTGCATACCCCAGGCCTTTGCAGGCCCCCAGCCTTTGCAGACCCCCAGCCTTTGCAAACCCCCAGCCCTTTGCACACCCCCAGCCTGTTGCAGACTCCCAGCCCTTTGCATGTCTCCAGCCCTTTGCAGACCCCCAGCCTTTGCAGACCCCCAGGCCTTTGCATACCCCCAGGCCTTTGCAGGCCCCCAGCCCTTTGCATACCCACAGGCCTTTGCGAACCCCTTGCCCTTTGCATACCCACAGCCCTTTGCAGACTCACAGGCCTTTGCAAACCCTCAGCCCGCATTGCCTGTGAACCGCCCACCTGGCCCGCCCTTTGCCTCCTCCCCATGCCATATCTGTCCTTCTCCCCAGTGTAAGCAGCCGCCGGTGGTGGGGGCAGAGCAGATGTTTGTGGGTGACCTGCTGCTCCCCACGCTGCCGGCGGGATTGGAATCAACGCTCACAGACGATGCCAGCCTGTCTCGGCCCCATCGGCTCAGGGAGGGACAGGCGACCAGACCCATTGGTTGCCTGGTGACACTAGGAGGGTACAGGCCCCTCCCTGTCCAAAGCCACCGCCCCTGCGGGTCCCTCTGCCTGGCACCTCGGCACCACTGTCCCCGTCTCCTGCCCAGACCCCGACCTCGGGGTCCCGGGCCCTGCCCTGGGCGGGGAGTGGGGTGCTTACTCGAGGAAGCGGGTGATGTACTCGCGGCTGCACTGGGACCAGTTGAGGGGCAGGGAGTGGTAGAACAGCTGCGGCGACATGATGAAGGGCTGTGTCCCCTGCGTGTCGCACTCGTTGCCGACCCCGTCGTGCACGATGCCCAAGCTGCAGAGAGCACAGCCCCGGGGGCGGGTGAGCGGGCGGAAGGCGCCCGCCACCTCCTCCCGCACCCCCCCCGCCCCCAGGCCTGCAGGGGGCCAGATCCTGGTCCCAGGGCTGGCTCAGGCCCCCCCCCCCAACGGCTGTGTGGCCTCAGGGAAGTCACTGCCCCTCTCTGAGCATCAACCTATGAACCAGGAGGTCACAGTTGGATCCCGGTCAGGGCACATACCCAGATCGCGGGCTCGATCCCCAGTCGGGGGCGTGCAGGAGGCAGCCGATCCATGATTCTCTCTCATCGTTGACTAGAGGCCCAGTGCACGAATTCGTGCACATTGAAAGGAAATTAATTAGAAGAAATATGTTAGAGGCCGGGGAGGGACCCCAGGAGGTTGGCTTTAGGGTGTGTCCAGCCCTTCTCGTCCAGTCCTGATGGGGGTCGATCAGGGCTGTCTCGCCTAGTCCCCATCAGGGCTGACCGGGGCCGGCCAGCTAGGGAGGGACCACAGGAGGTTGGCTCCAGGGCGTGTCCGGCCCGTTTTGCCCAGTCCTGATCGGCCGGACCCCAGCAGCAAGCTAACTTACCAGTTGGAGGGTCTGCCCCCTGGTGGTCAGTGCGTGTCATAGTGACTGGTCGGGCAGCTGTGGTTGGACACTTAGCATATTAGGCATATATATATATATATAAATATATATATATATATATATATTTTTTTTTTCCTAGCTCTCTCTCCCTCCCCTTCCTCTCTGACATCAATAAAAATATATCTATAAGAATAAAAGCGTAATATGCTAATTAGACAGGACGTCCTTCCGGATGTCCTTCCAGACGACCTTCCAGACGAAGCTGGGGCTGCAAGGGAAGCCCGGTGTCCCAGGTGCCAGAGGGAAGCTGGTGCCGGCAGCCAGGGGAAGGAGGGCCTACTCTTGCATAAATTTCATGCATCAGGCCTCTAGTTTCAAAATTAAAAAATTAAAATAAAATGCTGCCACAAGGACCAGCTAAGCAGCCCGGCATGGGGGGAGGGCTGAGGTGGGGGAGCTCAGGGCACAGGCCGCGGTTAGACACAGGCCCCATGCGGACATCACGTGTCTCCATCCCCAGGGGGCGCGCAGTGGCTCTGAACAGGGTACCTGCCCAGGGCCGCGGAGCAATCAGCAGCAGGGGTTTACTTGCTGGAGACATTGCAGAGTCAAAAATGCAAGTCCTGCCCTGGCCGGTGTGGCTCAGTGGGTAGAGCGTCGGCCTGCGGACTGAAGGGTCCCGGGTTCGATTCTGGTCAAGGGCATGTACCTTGGTTGCGGGCACATCCCCAGTAGGGGGCGTGCAGGAGGCAGCTGATCGATGTTTCTCTCTCATCAATGTTTCTAACTCTCTATCCCTCTCCCTTCCTCTCTGTAAAAAAGCAATAATATACATATTTTTTAAAATGCAAGTCCTGAGGCATTGCCCCCTGGGGACGTCTGGCCTGTCCCAACCCCTCAAACAAGCCCTGCTCGAGGCCAGGGGGCTGAGGTCCCCCGAGGGCCTCTCTCCTGCTTCACAGGGAAGCGACCTGGCTGTGGACGTGGATGGGGACACGCGGGGACCTTCCCTGGGATGCGGAGGCCCGTGGACCCGGATCCCCGGGGGCCCCAGGTTGGAGGTGGCGGTAGGGGCTGCGGGGTACCTGTGCCCGAGCTCGTGGGCCACGGTGAAGGCCATGGGCAGGCCGGAGTCCTCGCTGATGCTGCAGCTGAGGTGGGGCTGGCATATGCCCCCCACGTGGGCCAGGCCCAGGGTCTCACAGGGCTGGTCCTTGTTGGTACACAGGTCCTTCCTGCACAGACAGAGGCGGGACGTGTCCTTCAGGCTGGCCTGGCCCCATGCGGCGCCCCACCCCCACCCCCTGAGCCGGGCAGGGACCCCAGGGAAGGAGCTAGGAGTATGCCCACCCGGCCAGCGCGGCTCAGTGGTTGAGCATCGGCCTAGGAACCAGGAGGTCAGGGTTCGATTCCCGGTCAGGGCACAGGCCCGGGTTGCGGGCTCCATCCCCAGTGGGGGGCGTGCAGGAGGCAGCCAGTCCATGATTCTCTCTCATCATGGATGTTTCTCTCTCTCCCTCTCCCTTCCTCTCTGAGATCAGTAAAAATATATTTAAAAAAGAAGAAGAAAAAGGATGCCCGCCCATCAAACCGGCCCCAGCAGCAGCCGCCGGGGCGCAGGCGCCGTGGTGCCTGCAGACCCTGCCGGATGGGCCTGGGTCGGGGCAGCGGACCGCGCACAGCCGGCCGGAGCCCAGCTGCGGGAACGGAAGTCCGCGGGGAACAGAAAACACTGCCTCGGAACAGACCGGCCGGTGGACTCGTGCGATAAAACGGCACAGAACCGAACGCCACACACCCACACACACGCGCACGCACGCACACACGCACGCACACAGGTGCATGACAGTGCGACATCGGGCGATGGTGGCAGAGACAGCACGTTGGGGACGAACTAAACGCAGTAAGAATATGAGTCACGTCCTGACCGGTTTGGCTCAGTGGATGGAGCGTCAGCCTGCGGACTCAAGGGTCCCGGGTTCGATTCCAGTCAAGGGCATGTACCTTGTTTGCGGGCACATCCCCAGTATGGGGTGTGCAGGAGGCGGCTGATCGATGTTTCTCTCTCATCGATGTTTCTAGCTCTCTATCCCTCTCCCTTCCTCTCTGTGAAAAATCAATAAAAATAAAAATAAAAAAAAAGAATGTCAGTCCCACTCTGACAACTGCACCACGATTGTGCTGTTCCTATTAGAGGAGGCGCCTTCTGGCCTGATGGGAGCTGCAGTGGGACCTGGGAGCTCACCTGGAAGTGCAGCCCAACCTCCCCACCCAGGACCTGCCTGTTACCATGGAAACATGACAACCTAGTTGCAGAAACCAAGGCCCCCAGCCCTTTGAGGACCCCCAGCCTTTGCATACCCCAGGCCTTTGCAAACCTCCAGCTCTTTGCACACCCACAGGCCTTTGCAGACCCCCAGCCCTTTGCACACCCACAGGCCTTTGCACACCCACAGCGCTTTGCAGACCCCCAGCCCGCATTACCTGTGCACCGCCCACCTGGCCCACCCTTTGCCTCCTCCCCATGCCATCTCTGTCCTTCTCCCCAGTATAAGCAGCCGCCTGTGGTGGGGGCAGAGCAGATGTTTGTGGGTGACCTGCTGCTCCCCACGCTGCCGGCGGGATTGGCATCAACGCTCACAGGTGATGCCAGCCTGTCTCGGCCGCATCGGCTCAGGGAGGGACAGGCGGCCGGACCCCTTGGATTGTCCAGGTACAAACCCACCGTGATTTCCAAATGGAAAGATCCGACGGAGTCCCAAGAGGGAGCGGGGCTGGGCTCCCTGAAGTCCCCCCCACCCCCGGCTCCCTGAGGCCCCCTGGCTCCCGGGCCCCCCGGCCCCCCCACGGCAGCACCTGGTGATCAGCACCGCCATGTCGTGGTGCAGCGGGTGAGAGTCGTCGTCCATGTTGAGCCGCCTCTGCCACTCGCAGAAGGTGCTCAGGGTGCTGTGCGCCTCGTGCGTGACCTTCAGGTCCTTCTGCGGACGGAGAGGGTGATGGCCCGGCCCGGCCGCAGTTCCGCGGGCTCAGACCCTCCCGCAGGCAGGGCACCCCGGCCCAGAGGGGACAGCAGGACAGCCACGGCCCGAGCACCCCTTCCTCCCGCAGGCACCCCCCCCCCCCACCTTGCAGGGACTAGAGGGACTGGGGGGGGGGGGACCCTCGGCTTCTCACCACCTCGTCCTGCAGCATAATCAGGCGCACGACCGTGATGTGGATGGGGTTCCCGATGCTGGGGTTCTTGAAAATGCCGGCCACCTGCCCGAGAGAGGGGGTGAGGCGTCACCCCGGGCCTGGGACACGGGCAGCCGCTCCCCGCCAACACCCACCCGCCCGCATTCCCCCGCAGGGCGGCTCCGCGGTGCGCCCCGGCAGCCCACGCGCCCCTGCCCCAGCCCCCACCAGGGGCTCCCCACTCGGCCCAGGAGAGGAGGCCACCCCCAAGGCCGTGAGGTTTGCAAAGTGCAAGGAAGGGGCGCGGAGAGCCGTCCGCTCATTTAAAGCTCCCCGAGCCCAGCCGGTGTGGCTCAGTGGTTGAGCGTCGACCTAGGAACCAGTAGGCCACGGTTCGATCCCCGGTCAGGGCACATGCCCGGGTTGTGGGCTCCATCCCCAGTGGGGGGCCGTGCAGGAGGCAGCCGACCCATGGTTCTCTCTCATCATGGATGCTTCTCTCTCTCTCTTCCTTCCTCTCTGAAATCAACAATTTATTTTAAAACCAAAAAAAAAAGCTTGCCCGGCCGGTGTGGCTCAGTGGATAGAGCGTCAGCCTGCGGACTGAAGGGTCCCGGGTTCGATTCTGATCAAGGGCATGGACCTGGGTTGTGGGCACATCCCCAGTGGGGGGCGTGCAGGAAGCAGCTGATCGATGCTTCTCTCTCATCGATGTTTCTAACTCTCTATCCCTCTCCCTTCCTCTCTGTAAAAAATCAATAAAATATATTTTTAAAAAAAGCTTGCAGACTCTTCCTCCTGTTGGGGACCTGGGCTGGGGGTCCCAGGCTGCCAGGCTTCCTGCCTCATGCCCGCCGTTTGCCCGGCGCCCGTGCCGCCCCCCGGGGGCCCTCACCATGTTCATGATGGTCAGCACGTAGCTCTCCACCTGGGGCTGCCCGTGGTGCCGCACCATGTCGGCGTCCGCCACCACCAGGGTCTCCACCCACTTCTCCCTGCTGTCCGAGCTCTGGTATCGCCGCTGCCGCTTCGGCTGGTCCCCGCCGGCCCGCTGCCAGAACTCCCGCTCCAGGGGCCCTGTGGGCCCGGGGCAGAGTGGGGGGAGCGGTCGGACGGGCCCGGGGCCCCTCTTCCGAGAGCTCTTGGGGTCGGCACTGGGGTGAGGAGGATGGAGGGACGGGGCCAGGCGCTCCCCTCACGTGGGGCCGGTGCATCTCAGCACATGCAGACCCGGCCTGACCCCCCCACAGCCCCCAGGGGCGCCCCCGGAACCAGCTCCTCTGCCCCGGGCTGGGGATCAGTGAGGAATCACATCTATGCAGTGGGAAAACTGAGGCCAAGACGTGTTTAATGTGGCCTGGCCGGCGTGGCTCAGGGGTTGAGCAATGACCTATGAGCCAGGAGGTCAGGGTTCGATTCCCGGTCAGGGCACAGGCCTGGGTTGCGGGCTCCCTCCCCAATAGGGGGTGTGCAGGAGGCAGCCGATCCATGATTCTCTTTCATCATCATTGATGCTTCTCTCTCTCTCTCTTTCTCTCTCTCTCTCTCTCCCCCCCTTCCCTTCTTCTCTGAAATCAATAAAAATCCAATACAATAAAAGCCTAATATGCTAAGTGCCCAGTTGTCCCTTCAACCAATCGAAGCATAATATGCTAATGAGAGGCTAAGGCTGCTCAACCGCTCGCTATGACGTGCACTGACCACCAGGGGGCAGATGCTCCGATCGGTAGGTTAGCTTGCAGCTGGGGTCCGGCCAATCGGGACTGAGTGAGACGGGCAGGACACACCCATGAGCCCTCCCGTGGTCCCTCCCTGGCCCCGATCATGCACTGGCGGGGACCCTCAGCCTGGCCTGCGCCCTCTTGCAATCCAGGCTGAGGGACTCCGCCCCCTCTCTGAGTGCACAAATTTCGTGCACCGGGCCTCTAGCATAGTAATAAATACATAAATGGATACATAAAAAAGGATCTCGTTGCCCCGCGTGCGCAGCCCCCTCCCCGAAGGTGGGGGTGCAGGAGCCTACCTTGCACCCCGCAGGTGCCTTGCTCCGCCTGCCCCTGGGAAGCTGGGTGCTGGTACACCACGTGGGGCAGGGCGCTCCCGGGCTGGGCCTGGGCACCTTGCAGGGGCTCGATGAAGTAGTCCTGGTTGTTGAGCCGGAACACACCTTTCTGGAGAGGAGCTCAAGGTCACACGGGGAGCCAGGCTGACCCAGCAGAGGGGCCCTGGACTCCACTGGCGATGCTCACGGCCAGCGGGACATCCTACCCCCTGAGGGACACTCACACCCAAAGGAAGAGGGGCCCTGGCCGGTGTTGCTCAGTGGATAGAGCATCGGCCTGTGGACGGAAGGGTCCCAGGTTTGATTCCCGGTCAAGGGCACAGGCCCGGGTTGTGGGCTCGATCCCCAGTGGGGGGCGTGCAGGAGGCGGCCGATCCATGATTCTGTCTCATCGTGGATGTTTCTGTGGTGAGGAGGATGGAGGGACGGGGCCAGGCGCTCCCCTCACGTGGGGCCGGTGCATCTCAGCACATGCAGACCCGGCCTGACCCCCCGGGAACCCCTCCTGGAACCAGCTCCTCTGCTCCAGGCTGGGGATCGGTGAGTTAGCTTGCTGCTGTCGGGACTGGACGGGACAGGCCAGACATGCCCTGGATCCCTCCCAGAGTCTCTCCCCGGCCACCCCGATCGGCCCCCACAGGTCAGGCTGAGGGACCTCATCGGTGCGCGAATCCATGCACAGGGCCTCTAGTATATATCCTAATATATAAAAAGCCAGGGGCTGTCGCAACCGAAACAACCGGGCAGACAACCGAACATCAGGCTGCGTGGGGCGACCAGGCCGACAAGGGGGGCAGTTGGGGGCGACCGGGCTGGCAGGGGGGCAGTTAGGGGCGATCAGGTAGGCAGGCAGGCAGGTGAGCAGTTAGGAGCCAGCGGTTCCGGATTGTGAGAGGAATGTCCGTCTTCCAGTTTAGGACCCATCCCCGGGCTTGGGCCTAAACCAGCTGTCGGACAACCCCCGGGGGGGTCCCGGATGGATTGGAGAGGGTGCAGGCTGGGCTGAGGAGACCTCCTTGCATGAATTTCATGCACCGAGCCATATATATATATATATATATATATATATTTTTTTTTTTTTTTTTTTTTTTTTTTTTAATGCAAGTTTGAGAGCCCACCCGGACCTAACCTAAGGGACCCCCTATTTGAACAAGGCCTGCCGGCGATTCCAGCTCCAAGGCAAGTTTGAGAACCCAAATCCTGGGGACCCCCCGAGGCCAGGGGAGGCGAGTCTGAGGCGAGCCCGGGCCCTCACTCACCAGGCCGTCGCAGGCGCTGATGACCGCCAGGCCGCCCTCCTGCTCCGGGCTCTGCACCTGGCCCTGCAGGTGGCAGGCGGGCGGCACGGCCCTGCGGATGTGCGCGCTCCCCAGGCCGCCGGCCCGGCGCGTCTCGCTCACGAAGCCGGGCGCCAGCAGGTCCGGGGTGGCCCCCAGGTGCAGGCGCAGGTCGTGCCCGCGGAACTGCAGCTGGTAGAAGGCGTAGGCCGCGCCGTCCTCGGCCAGGGCGCGTTTGCGCAGCGCGCGCGGCCACAGCTCGTAGGAGAGGAAGGCGCCCCCCGCGTCCACGCGCACCGGGTGCACGATGTCTCGCGCCTCCTCCCGGCTCTCGGCCGGGGTGAGTCCTGCGGGGAGAACACCAGGCGATCAGGGACCCGAGGGCGGGACTCGCCTCCCCTCTGTGCCTCCCGCTGCCAGCTCTGTGCCTCCCGTTGCAGGTATCTTGGTCACAGGGCTCCTGCTCCCACGACTGCCCATCTAGGGCCCCCGCCCCACACCCATCAAATCCTGGCCTTCCGCTGTTCAAAGCGCCCCTGTGCCCCAGCCTGGCCGGCGTGGCTCCGGTGAACCAGGAGGTCACCGTTCGATTCCAGGTCAAGGGCACAGGCCCGGGTTGCGGGCTCGATCCCCAGTCGGGGCGTGCAGGAGGCAGCCGATCCATGAGTCTCTCCCATCTTTGATGTCTCTCTCTCTCTCTCCCTGCCTCTCTGAAATCAATAAGAAAAATATTAAAAAACAAAACAAAAAACCTTATGCTCTCATCTCACTCCAGCCCAGCCACCGGCCAGACCTCGATCTGAGAGCCCTGGACACACCAGGGGAGTGCCCCCTGCTGAGAAGGCCCCGCCCCCTGCATTGCCCCCCAGGGCCAGGCCTTCGGGCACATATATATACACACACACACTAATGAATGGGTAATATGCTAATTAGACCAGACGTCTTCCGGACGCCCTTCTGGACAAAAAGCCACAGTGGCGGGGGCCAAGGCAGAGGCGGTTAGGGGCGATCAAGCTGGTAGGGGAGCAGTTAGGGGGCAATCAGGCCAGCAGGGGAGCAGTTAGGGGGCGATCAGACCAGCAGGCATAGGTGGTTAGGGGCGATCAGGCAGGCAAGCAGGTGAGCGGTTAGGAGCCAGTGGTCCCGGATTGCGAGATGGATGTTCAACTGCCCGTTTAGGCTCGATACCGGTAGTCAGACATCCCCCCCGAGGGGCCCTGGATTGGAGAGTGTGCAGGCCAGGTTGAGGGGCCTCCCCCCCATGCACAAATTTCATGCACCGGACCTCTAGTATATACTAATATACATATATATATATATATATATATATATATATATATATATGTATATATATATATTTTTTTTCATTGATTTCAGAGAGGAAGGGAGAGGGAGAGATAGAAACATCAATGATGAGAATCACTGATCAGACGCCTACTGGGGATCAAACCTGCCACCTGGGCATGTGCCCTGACCGGGAACCGAACCTTGACCCCCTGGTTCACAGGTCGATGCTCAACCACTGAGCCTTGCCAGGCCGGCTGGTTCCTTGGGGTGTATTTTTTCAAGGAAATGCAGGAACCGGGCTGCCTGGGGTGCCTTGCCTGGGTGCGGCTCTGGCCATATCTCCCCCATCTCTGATTTTCAGGACATCAGCGGGACCAGGGCTTTCCACACGCCTCCAATAAGAACTTCTCCTTAAAAGCACATTCCCGTCCCCGGTCCCGGAGGCACTGAATCAGCACCTCCAGGAAACGGGACCAGGAAGCCCTGGGTTTGACCGGGAGCCTCAGGGGAGTAGGGGAATTCCGCATCCATCCGGTGACCCTTCGGCAACACCTGGAGGGCTGTGCGCAGCTGCCGGGCATTCAGCCGGAACCCAGAGGGCTGGCCCTGCACATCCGGGGTCCGGGGGTCTAAACCTTCAGGGAACTCTTTTTTTCTTTCTTAAGTGTTTTTTTGTTTGTTTGTTTTTTAATCATCACCCGAGGATTTGCTCAGAGAGAGGAAGGGAGAGAGGCAGAGGGGTGAGCCCAAAACCTAGGCATGTGGCCTGGCTGGTGTGCGTGGCTCAGGAGGTCACGGTTTGATTCCCGGTCAAGGGCACATGCCCGGGTTGCGGGCTCGATCCCCAGTGGGCGGCGTGCAGGAGGCAGCCGATCCGTGATTGTCTCTCATCCTAGATGTTTCTCTCTCTCTCTCCCTTCCTCTCTGAAATCAAAGACAATCTATAAATCCTATATAATAAAAGCCTAATATGCAAATCGACCAAACTGCAGAACGACTGGTCACTATGATGCGCACTGACCACCAGGGGGCAGACGCTCAGCCCAGGAGCTGCCCCCAGACCGCAGGCCCCAGGCCGGCCAAGGCGGGTACCAGCGGGGCCCCCCAGTCATCCCTGCTGGTCACCCCACATGTCAGCCCTGATCACTGGCCAGGCTCAAGGACCCCACCTGTGCACGAATTTCATGCATCGGGCCTCTAGTTAATAAATAAATAAACACCTAGGCATGTGGCCTGCCTGGGAATCAAACCCATAACCCAGTGTCTCTGAGAAAAATAGGAAGACCAGAGGTGAGCCCGGAGGCCCCATGTGTCAAGAAACACATCTCCATGCCCTGACCGGTGTGGCTCAGTGGATAGAGCGTCGGCCTGCGGACTCAAGGGTCCCAGGTTTGATTCCAGTCAAGGGCATGTACCTTGGTTGCGGGCACATCCCCAGAAAGGGGTGTGCAGGAGGCAGCTGATCGATATTTCTAACTCTCTATCCCTCTCCCTTCCTCTCTGTAAAAAATCAATAAAATATATTTTTAAAAAAAAGAAAAAGAAAGAAAAATGTCTCCACACCAGCCTTGTTTTTGTCCATTGAGGCTCCCAGCCTGGTCCCTGGCATGTGGGACAGTAGATGGCACAGGGCAAGCGTGAGCGACGCATGGTTGAAAATGAGCAAGCTTCTACAGGATACTTAGCTATTTCTTTAAACACCTGTTATTTCTTTGCCTAATGGCCTAATTTAAAAAAGAAATTAAATATAGATTTTTTTAAAATTGATTTCAGGGAAGAAGGGAAAGGGAAAGAGATAGAAGCATCCATGAGGAGAGAGACTCATGGACCGGCTGCCTTCTGCACGCCCCCTACTAGGGCTCGAGCTTGCAACCTGGGCTTGTGCCCTGACCGGGAATCGAACCTGTGACCTCTTGGTTCCTGGGTTGACCCCTTAACCGCTGAACCACACCTGGCTGGGCTGGGTACGTGCTAAACCTCGAGGATGAGCAGGGTGTCTTGGGGGTAGATGCTCCCCTCTTCCCCCCAGGCACTGGTTCTGTGCAGGGAGAAGCAGGGGCGTGATGACCGGGGTCAAAGGTGAGGGCTTCCCGCAGAAATAGCCCTAGATGGGTCCCAACTGGCCCCTAAATGTGTGGCCTGGGGGTGAGGACAGTCACAGTCACAGGAGGGGAAGGGGAGGCCACCTGCCCAAGGGGCACAGCTATGGGACACACTCCAGGGACAGCAGTGTCACTGAGGCATTGGGGGGGGGGAGGAGGGAAGGGCAGGGAGATTGCCAGGAGGCTAGGGAAGCCAAACCACTGGGGTAAGTGCCCAAGGGCTCAAACACGTGTCCCTGTCCACGTCCCTGGGGACACGAGTCAGTGCTGTTGAAATTCCCGCTGTAGCCCTTGGGCCAGCACCGCAAGCCAGAAGCTCAAGGTGAGTTACACAGAGGCAGCCTAGGGCCCTGCAGTGTGTCTCAGAGGTTGAGGTCGACGTATGGACCAGGCGGTCACGGGTTCGATTCCCGGTCAGGGCACATGCCCGGGTTGCGGGCTCGATCCCCAGTGTGGGGCGTGCAGGAAGCAGCTGATCCGTGATTCTCTCTCATCATGGATGTTTCCCTCTCCCTCTCTGAAATCAATCAGAATATATTTTTTAAACAATAAAGAGATAAAGCCTCAAGACCAAGAACCCAGGGTGCCCTCCCTCCGGGGAGCAGCCCCCACCATGGCCGGCCGTTGCCCTCTTCTTCCCCCACAAGCACCCATTCCCTAAACTCGAAGGGACCCCATGAGGCTTGCCACTAGGGGAGCAGCGGGCAGTGGCTGCTTGTCCCAGGCGAACCCTGACCCTGTCCCGAAGGCTCCTCTTCCCAGGGAGCTAAGGCAGCCTGGCTTCTTTCATACAAAGTCTCTTCTTATTGTTTTTTAAAATATATTTTTCTTGATGTCAGAGAGGAAGGGAGAGAGAGAGACACATCCCTGATGAGAGAGCATCATGGATCGGCTGCCCCCTGCACGCCCCACACTGGAGATGGAGCCCGCAACCCGGGCATGTGCCCTGACCGGGAATCGAACCCGTGTCCTCCTGGTTCATAGGTCAACGCTCAACCACCGAGCCAGGCTGGCCAGGCCTGAGCCCTTTCTTGTTTTACTGTCTTCAGCTTTTCTTTCTTTCTTTTTTTTTTTAACTATATTTCTTTATTGATTTCAGAAAGGAAGGAAGAAGGAGAGAGGGATAGAAACATCAATGATAAGAGAGAATCATTGATTGGCTGCCTCCTGCACACCCCCTACTGGGGAACAAGCCTGCAACCCAGGCGTGTGCCCTTGGCCAGAATCGAACCTGGGACCCTTCAGTCCGCAGGCCGACGCTCTATCCACTGAGCCAAGCCGGCTAGGGCCTGTCTTCAGCTTTAATACACGTTTCCTCGTAGTCACCTGGACTCGTGTGGTAAAATCTTTCCTGCAAAGTCAAGAACCCACACATGCCCTAACTGGTGTGGCTTAGTGGGTAGAGCGTCAGCCTGCGGACCGAAGGGTCCCGGGTTCGATTCCAGTCAAGGGCACATGCCCAGGTTGTGGGCTCAATCCCCAGTGTGGGGCGTGCAGGAGGCAGCGGATCCATAATCAATGATTCTCTCTCATCATGGATGTTTCTCTCTCTCTCTCTCTTCCTCTCTGAAATCAATAAAAATATATTTTAAAAAAGAAGGACCTTACTTTAAAAATAATAATAACAATAAAAATAAAAATCAATGGAAAAATATCCTCGGGTGAGGATTATAAAACAAAAAAACAGCCCTAACCGGTTTGGCTCAGTGGATAGTGCGTCGGCCTGTGGACCGAAGGGTCCCGGGTTCGATTCCAGGCAAGGGCATGTACCTGGGTTGCGGGCACATCCCCAGTAGAAGGCAGCTGATCGAGGCTTCTCTCCCATCGATGTTTCTAACTCTCTATCCCTCTCCCTTCCTCGCTGTAAAAAAAATCAATAAAATATATATTTTTTTTAAAAAATAAAAATCAATGGAAAAATATGCTCAGGTGAGGGTTTAACAACAACAACAAAACGGGAGCCCAACATGTGTTCCCTGGCCCCAAAGCAGGCGGCATTCCATGGGCAGCGCCCAGGTCTCCAGGGCTCCGCGCCTCCAGGGACCCTGAGTGTGAGCGGAATGGGGAGGGCCCCCTGCCACCTACCCCTGGGGGTCCCAGTTCCTGCCCCTCCCCTCTGGATGGGGGTGGGAGGGGGAGACAGATGAGAAGGGGAGGGGGGCCGGGTGCCTGCTGGGCCACCACCCTCTCAGGGCAGCTCCCAGGGGCAGGACTCACCAAGGACTCCCTAATCTCACTGGCTCAGCCTGGCCGGTTAATAAAAGCAACAGCCACTCCAGGGAGGTCACCCCCAGTCACGCTTCACCCTCCCGGGAGCCCTAGGCCAGTGGCCGGCAAACTCATTCCTCAACGGAGCCAAATACCAACAGCACGACGACTGAAATTTCTTTTGAGAGCTACATTTTTTAAACGTAAACTCTATAGGTAGGTGCATTGTTATTCACTTCATGAGGGTCCTCCTCAGCTGGCCTTTGCTAAAAACGTCCTCAATCTGCCCTGACCGGTGTGGCTCAGTGGATAGAGCGTCGGCCTGCGGACTGAAGGGTCCCGGGTTCGATTCCGGTCAAGGGCATGGACCTTGGTTGCCGGCGCATCCCCAGTAGGAGGTGTGCAGGAGGCAGCTGATCGATGCTTCTCTCTCATCGATGTTTCTAGCTCTCTATCCCTCTCCCTTCCTCTCTGTAAAAAATCTATAAAATATATTTTAAAAAAACAACAACAAAAAACCGTCCTCAATCCGATGGAGGTACGTCCGCTGAGGCCGACCCCTTCCACCTCTCCCATCCACACTCCTCTTGTAGACCTGTCTCCTCCATCTCCTTTCGTTCATCCTCTCTCTATGTCCAAACCATCTCCACAACCTTCCTCCATCCTCCACACTCCATCTGCTTCCACTCCACAACCTCCCCTAAAATTAACTTCCTAAACTTTAAAGTTTGAAGTCAACTTCGCGCTGTACGTGCGCGCCCGCAGGTGGCATTCTGTGGAAGAGCCACAGTCACGGGGCCAAAGAGCCGCATGGGGCTCGGGAGCCATGGAGGTGGATGCCCTAGGAGGTGGATGCCATGATGCCCCACTTGACAGGACGGTGGCCACACGCCTACATGGGGGGGAGGGAGGGGTCTGGCCTGCAGCAGGGAGTCCACGGGGCTCTGATCCCAGGGGACACACACACACACACACACACACACACCCATTTTTCCTACAGCTGCCATGGGCCCAAGTCCAGGCTCAGGGGCAGACCCTCCCTCCGCCACCCCCCAAACCCCCAGAAACCACATTCCTGCTGCTCGGGCATCGCCACCCCCACCCTGTGGGCGGCCCAGGGGTGCCCTGGCAGGTGACTCCCCTGCAACCTGTCCCCTCATCCCCAACTGAGACTTTCCAACCACCTGCTTGGCGAACCAGGTGGCGGGCACCTGGCCGGAGCCGGGGAGACGCTGGCGCCTTCTCCACCGCGCACAGAACTCCTCGGCGACCCCCCTCGCTGGCTCCCCAAAACCGCAGCCTCTCTGCCAGGAGCAGGCCTGATCCAGCCCCCGCCTGGCACACTTTTGCAGCGCCCCCCTCCCTCGGCCCCCCAAGTTCAAGGCCTCCTCCAGTCCCGCCACCCCGGGCCCCCTCTCCTTGCAATCCCCCCCACCCCTCTCCAGCGGCCTCCTGCACGGCTCTCCCTCCCCAGCGTCCCACCGGCCCCCTCAGACCAGGAGCTCCCCGCGCGCGGAGGCAGGACACCCCCACACCCCCGGCTCCTCCACCCCCACCCAGGCCGGCGGCTCCGGACGCGCCAAGAGCTCCCGGGACTGAGTCTCCTCGGAGTCTCCGGCCTCGGGGAAGGGGGAGCGGCAGGAAGTGCAGGCGGCGCGCAACCGGACCCCGCGCCCTGGGCCCCCGCGCGGATCGGCGTCGGGGCGATCGGGAAGGGTCTGGGGGTGGTGGCCCGCAGCGCCCCGCAACCCGCGCTTTCCACGGAGGAGGTGGGTGAGCAACCAGCTCCTGCGCGCGCAGACCGCGCTCCATCCAACCCCTCGGACCGGGGACCGCGCGAGGGCGCGCGCGGCTGCGCCGGAGAAGTGGGGACCCGGGCGTCCGACGCGCAGGGGGGACTCCTTCCCGGCCCCGGGCCAGGCCGATGGCGGCGGCGGCGGCGTCCGCAGGGCCCCCCGGACCCCCACACCCGGCGGAGGAGGGTGCGGGGTCTGCGGAGGCCGGAGGGGAGGCGGGGGAGCGGGGCGGCCACCCACCTGGTGCGGCTTGGGGGGCGCCGGGCGCCAGCGCGCACAGCAGCAGAAGGAGGGGGCGCAGCAGCGCGCGGCTGCGGGGGGCGCGGGGTCTGGGGCGGGACATGCCGGCCGCTCCGCGCGCTCCCCGGTCCGTGGGTTCGCGAGCTCCCGCCGGGTCCCGGCTCCGGATCCGACCCGCCCGGTCCCCCCGCGCGTGCGGCGCCGGTGCCGCCGGGGACTCGGGGCTCCCGGTCCGGCCGGGGCCTTGGTCCGCGCGCAACAAAGAGGCTGCAGAGCCCGCCCCCTGGCCGCCGCGGAGGCTCGGGGAGAAGCCCTGGGAGTGAAAGGGGGCGAAAGACTGAAGAAGGGAAAGAAGAGGAGGAAGAAAAAGGAAGAAAGGAGGTGGGAGGGAGGGAAGGAGGGAGGGGAGGGGAGGAGGAGGGGCGCGGCCGCCGGCCCCCGCCCCGCCCCGCCCCGCGGAGCTGCCCCCGCCCCGGCCCCGGCTCGGGCCGCCGCGCCCCTCCCCGCCGCTCCGGGGGCTGCGCGCTCGGCCACTCGCCTCCCCCGCGCCCGCCGGACCGAGCGCGCCCTCTGGCGGTGGCGCGGAGCGGGCTGTCCGGGGTGGGGCGCTAGGAGACCCCCCAAAGGATCTGGAATTTCCGGAATTCCCGCCGGTCCCCACGCTGTGCGCCAGGAGGCGCCCTTGGGGTGCATGCGCCCAGGCTGGGGAGGCCTGTCCGTCCTGGGAAAGGGACACGGGGGCGGGGGCGGGGGGGGGGGACACAGCAGGGGGTCCCAGGGTCCCAAGGTGATTCTGCTGCAGAGAGAGGCTGCCCCCGACTCTCCAGTGAGCACCCCTTTTTCCATGCGTGGGGAGGTCCCCCATTCCTCATCTGCAAGTGACTGTCTGCCTGGAGCTGAGCCTGCGCCCGCAGACTCTCAGCAGGGGGGTGCCCCCGGGGAGCCTGGAGTGCGGCCAACCCCAGCCTCACAGCCCAGGCCAGCCTCTGCCTGGGACCCTCTGGGCTTCTGCTGGCCCAGCCCTGCCTCTGGCTTCCTGCCCCCCCCCCCCCCGCCCCGGCTCCATGCACTGGGGGACACTCACCCTCCACCCCCTGCCCTACTGGGAGGACCGTCCGGGTCCCCTGTGGTCAGCTGGGCCGCCCCGACCTTTGCCCAGCCTCTACCGTCTCCGCGGGCAGGAGGCGCGCACACTTCCTCATTGTCCAGTCTCCCATGCACTTCCCTTGTTCCTGGAAGCCCCACCCCACGCCCTTCTGGTCCCCCGGGGACCGGGAGCACATGGCCGCTCCGTTCCTTGACCTCCTCTGGTGGCCTTTCACCGGCCTTGTCCATCAGGGCCACGGCCTGGGCTGTGCCAGCCGCAACAGCCCACCCTCTGGCATCTGGAGAGACTGGACTCCCCCCCCCCCCCCCCCCAACTCCCTGAACTGTCTTCCTCCTCCAGTCCCCTGTCACCTTCCTCTCCTGTCCACCTACCAGCCCCTCCTGGCTTCACCGATGTCCATCCCTGGCCCCTACCCAGCCGCCTTCCACTTCCTCCTCCTCCTGGGGGGAGAGGGGGGCCCTAACAGCCTGCTGGCCTTGCTGCCCAGGGATGGGGACCCTTCAGACCTCCACGTTCAGCCACTGGCACCTCCACTCCTGCTCCCAGCATCCCTCCCTACCTGGCAGCCCCAGATGGTCCCTACCCCTGGATGCAAGGGAGCGGGCACCCGCCCTCCAGCCGTCACACACAAATGCTTCCACCAGGGCTCCCCAAAGACCCTGCTCCAGGGGTCCCCCTCTGTCCTTGGTCTCCACTGGCTCCTGGCCCTCATCCTGGTCTCCGTCTTATTGAAGATGCTGACAGGCAGGGCCGGTGTGGCTCAGTGATTGATCATCAACCCATGAACCAGGAGGGTCCGGTTCCAATTCCAGGTCAGGGCACAGACCCGGGGTTGTGGGCTCCATCCCCAGTGGGGGGCGTGCAGGAGGCAGCCAATCCAGGATGCTCTGTCATCATGGATCTCTCTCTCTCTCTCTCTCCCCACTCTCCCTTCCTCTCTGAAATCAATAAAGATATATTTAAAAAATAGCCCGGCTGGTTTGGCTCAGTGGATGGAGCGTTGGCCTGCGGACTGAAGGGTCCTGGGTTCGATTCCCGGTCAGGGCACATGCCTGGGTTGCGGGCTCCATCCCCAGTGTGGGGTTTGCGGGAGGCAGCCGATCCATGATTCTCTCTCTTCATAGATGTTTCTGTCTCCCCCTCTCCCTTCCTCTTTGAAATCAATAAAATATATTTAAAAATATATAAATAAAGACACTGACAATATCTCTCCACGGACAGGCGGCCCCGCTAATGCCCACCCCACCCCGACACACGCCACACCACCAGCCGCTAACATGCATACACTGCATGTTCCCATTGGTATGTCATTGCACAACGAGTGGGTGCTGTTAGGAGTCAGGGTGGTGGTTACCCTGGGAGGAGATGGGAGTGAAGAAGGGACAGGAACTTCTCAGGAGGCAGCTCATGGTCTGTTTTGTTTTTCTTTCTCTTTTCTTTTTCCTTTTTAATATATTTTTATTGATTCCAGAGAGGAAGGGAGAGGGAAGGAGAGATAGAAATGTCCATGATGAGAGAGAATCATGGATCGGCCGCCTCCTGCACGCCCCACACTGGGGATCAAGCCCGCAATCCGGGCACGTGCCTGGACCGGGAATAGAACCGTGACCTTCCAGTTCATAGAATGGACGCTCAACCGCTGAACCATGTGGGCCGGGCACGGTCTGTTTTCGTGATATGGGCGCCGGTGACTTGGTCGTGCGTTTGCGTATGACGTGTGGGCATGTGTATGTGGGTATTACATTTCAAAGTTCTTTTTTTTAAATCCTACGGTGAAGAGCAGGAGACGGGGGTGGCTTGATGCTGTAGGTAGGGTGGTCAGGGAGGACTTCTCGGAGGAGGTGACATTTCCTCTGAGACCCTGTGGGGGAAGAGTCCGTCGAGGCACACACTGGGGGGAGGCACTCCAAGCTGAGGGCCTGGCACATGCAAAGTCCCACAAGGCTGAGCACCGTGGAGGGACAGCAGAGACCCGTGTGGGTGGGCCGGCACAGAGTGGGGTGGGGGTGATAGAGCTACTAGATGAGGTCAGAGAGGGGAGCAGGCACAGATCAGACAAGGCCTCCTGGGCAGGTAAGGAGTGAGGATTTTTTAAAAAATATATATATTTTATTGATTTTTCACAGAGAGGAAGGAAGAGGGATAGAGAGTGAGAAACATCCATGATGAGAGAGAAACATCGATCAGCTGCCTCCTGCACACCCCCTACTGGGGATGTGCCCGCAACCAAGGTCCATGCCCTTGACCGGAATCGAACCCAGGACCCTTCAGTCCGCAGGCCGACGCTCTATCCACTGAGCCACACCAGTTAGGGCAGGAGTGAGGATTTTTTTTTTTTTTTATTGCTTTCAGAGAGGAAGGAAGAGGGAGAGAGAGAAACGTCAACGATGAGGCAGCACAATTTACAATAGCTAAGATTTGGAACCAGCCTAAGTGCCCATCAGCAGGCAAGTGGGTTAAAACAAACTGTGGTCCATCTACACAGGGGAATACTACGCTGCTGTGAAAAAGAAGGAACTCTGACCATTCGCAGCAGCATGGATGGAGCTGAGAGCATGTGCTAAGCGAAATAAGCCAGTCGGAGGAAGAGAAATATCACATGATCTCACTCATTTGTGGATTATAAGGATCAACATACACTGATGAGCCAAAATAGGTCCAGAGACAGAGAAGCATCGAACAGACCATCCAGCCCCGGAGGGGAGGTGGGAGAGGGTGTGAGGGGGGGCGTATAAAGGACTTGTATGCATGCGAATGAGCATCACCCATGGATACAGACAGTAGGGGGGCGGGGACAGGTGCTGGGGGTGGGAGCGGCAGGGAGAGATCAATGAGGGGAAAAGGAGACTTAGGTAATACTTTCAACAATAAAGAATTTAATTTTTTTTTTTTAAAAAAAGAAAGAAACATCCATGATGAGAGAGAACCATGGATCGGCCGCCTCCTGCACGCCCCACCCTGGGGATGGAGCCCCCAACCCAGGCCTGTGCCCTTGACCAGGAATCGAACCGTGACCTCCTGGTTCATAGGTTGATGCTCAACCACTGAGCCACGCTGGCCGGGCAGGAGTGAGGATTTTATGACTCACCTTCTGACCGCTGAGGGGAGCAGAGACCCTGGGAGGGGGCGCCCACAAGTCACCGTGAATGAATGAAGACAGGACACACTGTGTGCGAGAACTACGGAGGCCTTTCCGAAAGCCGAGATCAGAGAGGGCAAGTCACTTGCCCAATATCACACAGCAAGTCAGTGGGCCGGACACAGAGAGTAGGACCCAGGCCCCCATGACACTCAGTGACTCCCATCAGAGGAAGAAAAACTCCCAGGCCCCAGGGCCCACTGGACGTATGGGCTAAGTTTGTACAATTTTGTATCAGGTTAGCAGTTCAATTTCCTCTTCTCTGACCACTGGCCGGAGAACCCCAATCCTTGCCGATTCTCTCTTGGGAGTGGGTCGGGCTGTGCTGACAGATGGCGGGCAGCAGATGTCGGAAGCTCTGGGGGGACAGCAGTGCCCAGTGCCCGGGTTCCGGGCCGGCATGGCTCAGGGGTTGAGCGTCGACCTAGGAGCCAGGAGGTCACTGGGAATCACGCCCGCCACCCGGGCAAGTAGCCCTGACCGGGAATCGAACCTGCGACCTCTCGGTTCCTGGGTTGACCCCTTTACCGCTGAGCCACACCCGGCTGGGCTGGGTACGTGCTCAACCGTGAGGATGAGCAGGGTGTCTGGGGGGTAGACGCTCCCCTCTTCCCCCAGGCACTGGTTCTGTGCAGGGAGAAGCAGGGGCGTGATGACCGGGGTCAAAGGTGAGGGCTTCCCACAGAAATAGCCCCAGATGGGTCCCAACTGGCCCCTAAATGAGTGTGGCCTGGGGGTGAGGACAGTCACAGTCACAGGAGGTGAAGGGGAGGCCACCTGCCCGAGGGCACAGCTATGGGACACACTCCAGGGACAGCAGTGTCACTGAGGCATTGGGGGGGGGGGAAGGGCAGGGAGATCGCCAGGAGGCTGGGGAAGCCAAACCACTGGGGAGAAGTGGCCCCAGGGCTCAAACACGTGTCCCTGACAGGGACCCACGTCCCTGGGGACACGAGTGAGTGCTGTTGAAATTCCCGCTGTAGCCCTTGGGCCAGCACCGCAAGCCAGAAGCTCAAGGTGAGTCACACAGAGGCAGCCTAGGGCCCAGCCGGGGTGTCTCAGAGGTTTAGGTCGACGTATGGACCAGGCGGTCACGGGTTCGATTCCCGGTCAGGGCACAGGCCT